GAATCAATTGACAGAATAAATAATTTGAAAAATTCAATTTTATTTTAAATGTAGAATTTTTTTCGATGTTTTATTGTTTAGAACTAAAATAAGAAATTCATTTTACATTTGTACCATCTGAGACACCGGCATTTTTAGAAGTGTTGTCTTTATAAAATAATATTTAAACGCATATTATTTTTTGCTTGAGGACTGTGTTTTCTGATTGCTTTCAAATTGAAGGAAGTTAAAATTATTTACTCCAGCGTGAAGTTTCAAGCAATACTATGCCGACCCATCTGTTGAGTAGAATACGGTATGTAAGAACATCTGAGAATTTTCTTTGTTCTTCAATTATATGTGTATCTTTCGAAACTCGCAGTATGACGGCCACCGGAAATAAGCTCAAGATTTTTTCATTCTTTTGATTTTTCTCGGCAGAGTTTCATCTGGCCTTGAGCAAAGTTTGTATTCTTGTAGATAAGTGAAACGAAGGGTATCCTATCTTTTAACACTGAAAACTCTATCCTGTGAAGTTAGATGCAGTATACAAGATTATAGTATAAAACACTCCTCGAAACGTGTTGTTTCCCGCGTGGGACGAGCTCGGTGCCGGGTTCTCAGCAAGGAGATGGGTGGCGTTGGTTTAATCTCGCGCGTGGTGCACAGCGTTGGCCGCGGGTCCGGAAGCGGTAGGAAGTTCCTCCTCTTGATGTCGTTGCTGCTGTTGCTATGGGCGTGAGCAGCTGCATGTGTTCTCAATTTGCTTTTTTTGCCTTGCTGGTATGTAACGTGGGAGAATCAAGCCTCGCTATGGGCGTAAAAGGGAGTTACAATCCTAACGCGTGGGATTTGGAGAACAACGCATGTTTATATCCATGCGGCATGCACTATGTTGAGAGAAAGACGAATGAGATTGTCCCAATACCTTAGGATGCATACTAAATATCTAATGTTTGAAAGAATAAGTTTAATAAGTAACCGATTTTCCTGCTTCATGACGTTGTCGGAGCTTAGCTTTCCTGCGGAAATAGTTGCTGTACTCGCTAGACGAACGATACGTAAGTTCGTTATAGAGCCTCGTAAATCATTTTGGCTTGGGTTAGAATGGGTCTGCACGAAAATTGTAAAATTTTGTCTACCTTGTTATTTGAATTTGTTGCCGAAATTTTGAGGCTAGCCTTGCATTTTAAAAATCTTGCTCGACTGCTATCGAAAATTGGAATAGAACGTTTTTGAAAATGCATCGCCTTTGTGCATTTATTTCGTCTCGGATCTAGAGAAATTTTAGAATAATTTTTTTAATATTAATGAAATTATTGCTTGCCTTGAATCAGAAGTGACGGTTAAGTCGTAACTTAGCATGTGAATAAGACTGAGCGTGAACGTCAAGGACAGTGAAGCTTATCCTGTGCGTACTAAATGCAGGTCGTGAGATGCTACTGCGGAAATGAACATGAAACAATAGCAAGAAGATTATTGATGGCCTCACGTCGGCCACTTACTGGGCATCTGATGTAGTGTGAATGACTTTATACTCAATTAGAAACTCAATGAATAGAATGACCTTTGTTAGTTCTTCATAGTGGTATGGTTTTCTGTGCCGTCGTTGCTTTGAACTTGAATAATAGCGGCTGATGTATCAAGTGCAAGGACATTATTTGTCCTGGAAACTTAATTGCCAGATGTCCGAGTCGAGTATCCTCTATGAAATGTTCAGGTGTAACTTTTAATTTTATTGCAGTGTAAAATTACCGCGACGAAGAAACTTTTTTTTTTTCTGCGAGAACATCAGCGTTCGATATAATGTTTATCTTGGAAATGTGCGTGTATGCGTATGTACTCTACTGCCCAATATACAGGGTGTTTCAGAATTAAGTAACCCTTTTAATTTGTTAATAAATAAAAAACTAAGAACGTTATGAAGTTGAAACTTGTTTTATTTAAAAGAAGAACATTTTCATGGTAATATTGTATCAAAGTTACGTCATTATCCTGTATAGCTTGCTAAATTTGTGTTTAATTATCAAGCCTTAAATTTTCATCATGATTCATCATAACGTTCTTAGTTTTTTATTTATTAACAAATTAAAAGGGTTACTTAATTCTGAAACACCCTGTATAACTAGCCGCAAAAACCTCTTGTGTGAAAGGGTTTCGACCAGTTGAGCCAGAACTTGAGCTCCGGCTAAATTTCATTGTTCGTTGTCATGTGAAAACAAAATTGATGTACCTACGTAATTTTGCAGTTACTTGATTGCGTCATGAGTGAAAATATTGATTCTTTTAATACGATAAGGCGTGCGCTAATCACTTGTAAACATTTCTACCTAGACTGTTGAGTGTTGGGTATCGTTTGTTAGCTGCATATTTATACTTATTTTGGATATGCTTACCAATATTTTGTATGCATGCTTCTGAAACGAAGAGTCAATAGGACTGTGGCTTCATGTATTTCCACCCAACATTTTGCAGTACTTACTAAGTAAGTAGAAACGTACTCTAAAGAACTGCACATATGTAATCATTTCGTGGCTGCTTGAGCAAATTAATAGTATACGAATAATTCAGTGCTCCTATTTGTGCGCAGCTGCCCCTATGCCTGCATGGTGTATGAATGTCGTGCAGACCGTTCTTTTGCAGCCGTCGGCTATTTGGCCGTGTGAAGCGAAGCTTATTTCATTGTTTTTTAATTTTAGTTTTTTTTCACTAATCGCTGACAGTTTTTAACCCTAGGGTAAAGCTTGTAATAGATTATTGATGGTAAGCTCGCTATATTACACTTCTGACTGAATTTATCCCTTTACGCCCTGAATTTCTGGGATGAAAATCGTAAAATTCACTTTTTCGGTTTTAAGTCTCACTTCAAAGCTGACATTCTGACCTATCCACCATAAGAAATTGGACATTGCCATTGGAAATTGGAAATTTTATTTCGGTTACTTACCGACAGATAACTTTGAAACTTGGTACACATATGTAAAAAATAAATCTAAGACTTTTTTTATTCATGTGAATTTTTCGAAAAAATGACAGAAAACGTGAAATTGTTGGAAAACCGATGTTTTTTTCTGTGTGACGAATTCGTCACTCCAGGGCGTAAAGGGTTAAGAGACCGACAATTCCTTCAAATTTGGTGCACGGTCAGTCTTGTCTGTCACCTGCGCATCTGTTGTCAGTTGTCAAAGACTGCTGGGTGCATGCGCCTAGTTCTGGCATAGTCATTCTTTTGGTTCAAATGGTACTTGACGGGCAACTATGTGAAGAGCGCCACTTTGTTCTTCTTCGATACTTCCATTTCCTGTACAGATGTAAGGTCTAGTTGGCCACATGTGGGGCTTGTAAGCTACTTGAAAGAGGCATCAGAACTCCGATCATTATCTTGCTTTAAAAATTCTTAGTTTCTATTTCCTTGAATTATTGTAATCCAATTAATGATCGGTAAAACTGCAGTCTCGGGCATGTTTCACAATATATCACCACCGAAATAATGAAGGTCACGTCTTGAAAAGTTCTTGAGTAAGATTTTGTAGGGATAAACTGCTTGGTCATATGAAATTTGGCGCAGTTTACTCTTAGTTTGAATCATGACGATCTAAGAATTATGAGAGGAAAATTTTCAGTTTCTTGAACTTTTCCTCTTGAAGCAAACATTTTATAAAAAGATTTTAACATCTTTTTACGTTTTGTTAAAAAGAAGTTGAGTTCGTTCCACCAATCCCTCGTATTGAACTAAATATTGCTTAGATTCTGCATTTCAGCGATAGTACAAGTTTCCTTTCCTCCGAAAGACCCTTTTTGACATGATTCGCCAGACTGGGAAAATTATTCACGGGGATGTCTATTAATAATTGTTGTAATATCTTCTGTTTTCGAAACCATAATAGAAATTTTTAGTGCTTAATTTTAACAGAACGGTTTTCATTTAAGGACTGCGGGAACACGGCCGATAATCATTAGTCATGCTCGTGTGCTCTCGTCAATTACTTCATCGTTGTGTCTGCCCGATGTTATATTCGTTGATTCCCATTAGTCGATGACGTTCGTCGCTCGACAGAAGTTTGTTCGAGACGATGCAAGTGAAGTCATTTTTGTGCGCCGCCTGAAACCGCTACTTCTCGCATTTTTGATGAGGGCCTTCCGTGCATTATTTGTAGTATGGCGACTCTGCTTGACATTCTCTACAATAATACATTGCCTAAGAAGCTCTTGATGATGCCACTGAATTTTATTGCCGGTTTCCAACGTATTTATCGGTATGTTGTTTTAACGTGCCATATTTTTACGAAACAAAGATTGTCTTGTGTTGGATCTAATGTTACGTTGATTTTTGAACGCTATTCAACGACTTATCATGGAGACTTGTTGTACCAAAAGAAGAAGTGCTCATAAGAACGGTGATTTTATCCTCAGCGTACGGTGTTGTGTGTTAGATGGCCGTGCAGGGAGCGAGCTGATACACAACGGAATGGTCATCTGACACTCGCTTCCGTTAGCCTCGGCATTTTTTATCACAAGCCCTTGTCGTGAGTTCACGCAAGCACTTCGCAACTTCTTGCGGAACTTGGCGAGTTCTCGATATTGTCAAGTGAAGGCGTCTTTTTCGTTAACGGATCTTCAGTTGTTGAACACGAAAATTATTCACTGCACCAACAACACTGGATTAAAACGTCTCCTATAAATTCGAACGGTCATATAAATTCGAATGGTTCCATCTAGATTTTTGACTTATAACAGATTCATTAGTTTGATACACTACGGTTTCGTCTTGCGGTCAGTGGATTACCATTACAAACACCTCAGATTGTACATGTATACATTTCTTTTAATTATATATCCGTCAGTTGTGTTTAGCGATTTTATGGGAAGAAAAAAGTTTTTACTCTCATGCTACAACGAAACCATTCCGTGATTTATGTGTGTTTAATCAAATATTGTTATAAGGTTTCTAGTTAATTAGTTTTAATTTAATTAGTACTTTCTTCTTGTTCTTCCGTACTTAATGTTTTTTTTGTGTGCAGCGGAGGGCATCCCACGGCTCTATTACTTCGGCGTGTGCGGCAAGTACAACGCCCTGGTCATGGAGCTGCTGGGGCCCAGCCTGGAGGACCTCTTCGATATGTGCGGCAGACGCTTCTCCCTTAAGACCGTCCTCCTTATAGCCATTCAACTCGTGAGTCATGACATTAATTACCTCATTTATACGAGAACATTATGGTATTGATCCGGGAAGAAATTTGTCCAGTCTAACCAAATATCGTCTCGTGTAAGATTTTCTCGTGTATGTATATGTAAATATATTTTCACGGTCCTCGGTCCTTTCCAGATTGTTTATGTAGGTTGATGAATCGGTACCAGGCTTTTTTCTACTCTTATTGCAACCTGTCTTGTGGTACAATATTTGTGCAGGATATTGTCGGTGGTATTTAATATCCCAAAGATGACAATTCCACGTGAATAACATTTTCAAGTAAAATTGAAGCGCATCTTCATGAAAAAACAGTTATACCGTCAAAATAAGTATACAAAGTAATAATCTAAGTAATGAAAAACACGTCGTTTTTTTCACGGAGCACTTCAATATTATCACTAATTTTACTAAAATGATTGTTTCTTGTTTTGTGCAGCTCCACAAAATAGAATATGTCCACTCCCGAAGATTGATATACAGAGACGTCAAACCTGAGAACTTCCTCATAGGCAGAAGTTCCACTAAAAAAGACAAAATCATACATATTATTGGTGAGTAATTTAGAGTTAGAATTTCGCGTTTATATATAATCTTTCGTGCATTTGTATACATCAAAATCTCAAACTTATTGATCTCCTTATATCTTAGTCAGATCCTCATATTATTTGATTTGCTGATACCAGATATTATCATCTTTTTAAAACGAGGAATAACGAGGACTGTTATGGACGAATGAAAAAATAAAAACTCGCAAATTAATGTGCAATTAGTAAAAAAAATGATTAATAAGTGCATACAAATTATTGTAAATGTAATGGTGTTTGTATTTGATTTTTTTTTTGTGATATAGGTACATTTTACATTAACCGTTCATTAAAGATTACTTACTTCCTATGTCGTATTAGAAATCAATGGAAGAACCAAACTTCGATGTAACTACCTGCCGTTTCACGGGTTTCATATTAGCTGAATCTGTTTGTGCCTAATCTTGTGCTTTGCATTGCAGATTTCGGTTTAGCCAAAGAATACATCGACCCGAACACCAACAAACACATCCCGTATCGCGAACACAAGTCGCTGACGGGCACAGCTCGCTACATGTCCATCAACACACACATGGGACGTGAGCAGTCACGACGAGACGACCTCGAGGCCTTCGGTCACATGTTCATGTATTTCCTGCGAGGCTCCTTGCCCTGGCAGGGACTCAAGGCCGAGACTCTCAAAGATAGATACCAGAAAATCGGTGACACCAAGAGAGCCACTCCAGTGGAAGTGCTTTGTGAGAACTATCCTGGTGGGTGAAATTCATGCTTTTATCTCTCTCCCCCGCTCTCAATTAAAGTATCTAGTTTCAGAATCTTAACTTAAACATTTCTAAATGTATTCGTTTTGAAACAAAGGGCAAGGTCGGGATAAATTTGTCTGATTTATATTTTGTGATGTTGAAGGAATTGACTGTGACTTAACATGTGAAGCGTGTCAATTTTTCAGAGATGTCGCCCCAAATTTTTGTTTTAGGTGAAGATTTTAAGTGTTATCCAAGTGTTCAAAATAGTATTTTGAGTTCTATAAAAGTTGGCGTTAAAAGCGCATGCTTTTTTGACATAATCCTTCATATTTTTTCATGTTTTTCTCATGATACCGTCTGCGATCTGGGCGCTTAATTCATGTTCACTGTGTCCTGATCATTTGATCCTCAACTGCATAACCCAAAATATATATATAACCTTGTATTGTTCTTTGTTTGGAAATATTTGTCCCAATAGGAATTTAGATACTGTTATTGCACCCCCATTGCACGTTTTCACGCTAAGTAATGCATTTCAGAGGAGTTTGCGACATATCTACACTACGTGCGACGATTGGACTTCTTCGAAACTCCTGACTACAACTACCTGCGCAAGCTCTTCCAGGACCTCTTCGAGAGGAGAGGCTTCACAGCAGATGGCGAGTTTGACTGGACTGGCAAAACCATGGTGAGATATGCCACTGCTCGACTTTTAGGTTGTGTGAAATGTTTGAGCTAATGAAACTATAAATTCGGTTTTGAAACAACCAAATCAGAAAGTTTCTTATTGAGAGTGAGCAACATTGGGCGAGAAGCATCAATTGTATATTTGTGGATACAATTTTTGTTACAAGTGACATGTCTTTAAAATTCTGTCAAGTAATAACTTCCGAAGCACCTTCATGATTTTTATTGTATTTAACCTCGTGCATTACGTTTTAACGATGTATTTGTATAAAATTTTATTTATGTTCCCATTATTATTCATTACTTCTGAGTTCTGCGCTTCTCATGACTAAATCTTAAAACCTGAATTTAACAAGATTTATTCGTGAATGTGCTCTTGTCAATCGTTTTCTTGTAAAATTTTCTGTCGTATTTGCGATTTGATAAAATCTGCACTTGTTTTATAGCCAGAGAATTTGATGAACAACATGCGACAGTTACGCAACGCTGCGCCCTCTGACAGGATCAAAACGCGCTCTGATAAGGTGTCTCCTACGTCTCTGGCTTTTACTTGCTCTTAATCCCTTCTTGTTTTGCCTTCGTTGTGAAGTGTTCGCTGCTTATGCCGCTGTAAGAATGCCCTAGGGCGAGTCTCTTGATCTTAAGTTGTCGAGGTTGAAATTCCCGTATATCCAGTTGTTTGAGCCTGGTAACTATACTTTATGCCTTTATATTGCTGTCTCGCTCCATTTCTGAATCCTCGTTTCTTTGACAAGGTAATGTTTATAATTCACTGCTGGTGCGTACGAACCAGAAATGCTTGGTAAAGTGATAACTGCTGTTCTACGAACACCATTAGAATTTTTTTAAATACTCAATTGAAAGCATTCATCTATCGTCTTACCTTCTGCATTACCTGGGCGTCGTAGTTGTTTAAGATTTGACGAACAAGACGTGAGATAAATGCGAGTTCAAGTTGTAGTATCATGTAGCAGCTAGGTATTGTATTCGCGAGAGAGCTTGTCTTTTGACTTTTCGAATGTATCACGTGAAAATTTTAACGCAAATGTTGGAATGAAACAGTTGCATTCTTGTCAAATGCTTGAGTAAGAATAGGACAATCTTGTATATCTTCGCAGATATTTTTAAGCGATCACGTAGTTCGATGGCGTACACTACCTATAAAGTATAAAGCAATGCGTCTTTAGAGTAACTTGCTCGTGCTTGAAATAATTATAATAGTTCACGCGCGACTCGGCCGTGAAGGAAAGTAAATGCTCAGTGATAGTTATATTGTTTTGGGGAAATTGGTTCAGTGAAAAAATGAAAAGTTTAATATAATTTTCTCACTTACGGATGAGTATTTTTGAAGTTTTAATCAAAGGATTATAATTTGAAGCCTTTAAATTGTATACTGTTTGAACGATCGGTAAGTTCGTTACTGTTTTGGTAACGTTTTCTTTACATCGAATTAGATATAAGTTTATATTTAATTCCCACTATTTCGCGCCAAACTGATCGCTGTGATTAATGATAATTTTTTGCTTTCTCCCTTCGTGACTTTCTTTAGTTGGTGTGATTCATTAACGCTAGTTTTGCCGTGCAGTCGACACCTGTTGGTTCTACCCAGACCGCCACTGAAGTTATTGTGTCACCGAGCAGAGATAACAGAGACCGACATCACAGCCAAGCTGCTACACCGCTGCCAAACGCTAAGGTATCTCGTCGTGCTGCCTTCACCACGCCCCGACGACGCTTTCTCATCAGTCAGCCATGACTTTTTACCTACGTCTTTACCGTAAACAAGATAACCGTGCTTTGTTCTAGCTGTTAAGTTCGGTGAACCGCGAGCGTTGCGTCGACTCCCTTGCGCGATTCGGTCAGAGCAGGTTGGCTGGTTTTCCATTGACCATTATGTCGTCTCTTTACGCTTCCTATTTTCCGTTACCAATGTGGATTCCAGTTGGTGCCAATTTATTTTCCTTACTAGTTTCAGAACCCGTTGCAACGGAGGCCTTCTCGCTGTTTGTTTGAAAATAAGTTTTTGTTGTCGCTTTCTTTCTTGTTGATTTTATCCATAGCATTTTGAGACTCTGTGACCTTCAAGCCTGGAATTCGTTTTACGAGACAGAAAAGCATTCAGCACTTGCTGGGGGAACGTCCGGCATTTCGAACGCGTTGAAAATTCGCTGCCGTGAGCTTAGTCACTCGAGACGGTGGCTCCTGAAAGGTCTGTGTCCTTCAGCTGAGCGGGGTGCGCAGTGCTAGCGGTCACACTTCCCGCACTGCGGCTGTGGTAGGAGCCACAGCACCTGGCGAAGGAGTTATCCATAAGGGCACCACAGATGATGGAGACCACGGACTACTTCCATGGACACCCACTCAACAAACGGAAGAGAGCGTACCAACCTTCCAACCCACCGTTAGACACGTACGTCTCCGACTCTCATCTCTGTGGCACCTCCATTTTACTTACCGTTATTGGCATCCTAGAGGCACACACTCGTCTTTCCGCCATTTCTAGTGGCACTGAATACCAAAGAAATACTCGTGATATTTTTCACCGTGTTTAGCTCGTATTGTCATGGCTTCATAGCAACTTTACCATGGCTTTTAAACTCCATGCACTCATTGGTGTTTTGTCTTGTGAACACGGCTATCCTGCCAGAATTTTTCTCTTTTTATATTGTCTCGTCCCTGTCAATTGTTAATTTTTTTAAATCTTATCCCTGTGACGAAACTTAAACTCCTGGTTTGACTACTTTAATATAATATTATGAAAGATAAAGATTGTTGGTGCTGATCGTGATAGACATACGAGATAATTTTTTTCTAATAGTTTTAGGACTCGCTTGAAAGTCTAGTCAGAACACTTTTTTTTAATGGAAAATGTTCCTGGTCTGTCTACAGCAGTGTCAGCTGCCATCCCATCTTCGATTTGACTGTCATCAACCTGTCCTGCCAAGTCTACCAAGTGATATTCCATGGGCTGAGATAGCATTTCGATTCGAATTTTTTCCGTAGTCGTGTTCTGACGTAAATCTTAGTGATATTTTAGGCATGTGGTTCATTTGTTTCTCACTCGCTTAAGATAACTCGAACTGTTTTATCATTTATAAATTAGCAATCTTATTCCATTGCACATGTGCATAAGATTTAGAAAACATACAATTGCATTAGAAGGATTTTTTCTTGCCAAGTTGGGCTTGGTAAAATTCTTGCTATGTCTAGTCCAGACAATGAATGGCAGTGGCCAGTTAATACGCGTATTATAAGCAAGCGCTTCCTACTCAGCTCCGTAGCTGATAATAAGCTGAACTTTGCTTAGTCGTGAGTTTGCGCTTATATATTAATGCATTGCCACGGCATAAAGGCAATTAATTAGTAATTAGTCTAGTAATTAGTAATTAGTTGACAGCGCGCACATAACACAAGAGTTATATTCTATTGTAAGCAATGGGCATCGAATTCATCTCTGCATTAAAGCATTTCTGCAGAAAACTCTGCTGTTGTTTTACCACTGTTTGCTTTGCTTATCCGTAAAATGGCAGGTTACAATCCGCGATCTTGGATAAGCGAAAAGTATTGTTTCCATTTAAGCCTTTTGACCGCAGAATTCCATTGGCAAAAAAAAAAATCATTTTTGTTGAAGGGAGAAATCTTTTTCTTGGCGTTGAAACATTTTTTATATCCCCGTGCGTTATTTACAATTTTTCTTGTATCCGTGGTTCACTGCAACTTAGCGGCTTTATATGAGCACTTGTGTTTTCCTTGTGCCTATATTTTCCAGAGCATGCCACGGCTGACTGATGAGAAGGTTTGTGGTTATATTAGTCCCAGATTTGATTCATATTAATCCTGATGAGCTCACGAGTTTGGTTAGTTTCTGCATACATATTTATCAATGCTCGTTTAAATTTGGCGTGTGCATCCTATGAATTGCATAATCCTGCTTATGAATCCCTACACGACGGCACTTGATATATCACGAGATGCCTGTTTTACTTCGCATAATCTCGTTTGATTGTTTTATACTGAAATTATCTATTTAATTTTATTTTCATTGAATAGTCTTTCAACTCCCTTTTTGCTATGCAGTACCGTATACACGTATATATGCTGGTAAACCTCAATCTATCATTTCATTTATTCATTCACCCACTCTGACGATTGATTAATCAACTTAACTTTGATTTACCGTGGTCGTCAAATCAAAAGTGGAATGTACTAAAAAAAAGAGTCACTCTCACCTAAATATATACACAGTAGGATTTTTTATCAATATTTTATGCATAATTTAATCTGTTCACTTTTTCTAAATATACTCGTTCTGTGAATAGAGCTAATTTTGTGGGCTGTCTGTCTGTGTGGCTGCTTCTTGCCGATTGCAGTGTGTTTCTGTGAGGGCCTGCCTGAGCCGTAACTTCTACCGAGAACGGAACGTAGAATTGTCTTAGTTTTATCTGAGCTCGAGCTCTACTCCTGCTCAATTGCACACTTAATTTAGGACTCAAGTCGAGCCAAATTCTGCGTTACTTTCTACAGCATCAAAGCTATACTTCTGAAAATTGCCGCAATTAATTTCTTTGTTTAGGAACAAATTTTGGTATTTTTTCTTTCAGCGCAGAAGCTGAGGGAATGAATAATGATTTTAGTGGAACCTGGAAAAGTGGAAAGTGTGTTTAGAGTAGCAACCACGAAACTGTCATTGATTAGCTTTAGTTCACTTGCAAGTAATTTTGTATGTTTGCGTTTGCGTTGACTGTTGGTGTGTGCAACTTTGAAATTACTAATTCAGCCTGGCTTGTATTCATTGTTTTACATTCTTAATCTTTTATGTTTTCGTTGTTGATTTCGTGAAAGCTTTGGTAATAGCTTCGTTGCCGTTTACCTTGATTCACCTGGTTTTGTATACGAAATACTGTTTTCCATGATTGTTTTGATTGCAAATCATTGCACCATTGCACACTTGCAATAAAGCGTCTTTTTTCACATTCATTGGCTAATTTTACTAGTTGACAATTTTCCGGGCCTTGATGTATTTGCCACTTCAATGAAAGTCCTTCAATAATTCAATGAATAGGATGAAAGAAATATCTCCTCTATGAGTCAGATATCAATTGTCTAGAAATTTTCCGAACGTAATTTTCACTAAGCTGCAAGAGAGCCAATCAAAGTAGCACACATATTAATTATTTTCGAACCCAAATCAAATATTTTAAATACGTTAAATTCACGATTCGCCTTAAACGTGTATGTTGACACTCTGGCTTTGAGCTAGATCCGATTTCAAATTTGTAACATGGTAGCGATTTATATCATATGGAATTGATCTTCATTGATTGAATTTGTTGGCTTTGTTCTTTGCCATGACACGAGTTTTTCTGCTTATGAAATCGCTGTGTTGTGCCGTAATTAATTTTTGTTGTATTTGATTCCATTGAGCTACTTATGTCAGGATGCTCTACATCCTAACATTTTCATGTACTATATTGAAACCGTCCATCGTTCGTTATATTATTCAAACCTACATTCCTATTGATGATCAGTGTTTGCATGGCAGTGTAGATAAACGCTTACTTATCTGATTATTTACGACTCTGGCGCTTATTTTTGAGTCTCTAATTCGTCAAAATGTTGGTCTGCTCCTCCGAGGTGAGTTTTGTCTTCGTTGTGAAGTTTTGCTGGTTATTTTACTCTTTCTGATGAACATGGAGCTGTTGAAGTCGCCTCTACCCATCGTATAATAATATTCGATTGTGTATTTCTTGCTGCTACTCGAAATTATATTAACACGCATAACGGTTCTCTTGAACCCAAGTATTTGGGGCAAAATTACCATTAGATGTTGGTTTTCAATTGATGGTCGTTGCTGGAAAAGTGAGACAGTTGAGCAGCATTGGTGTGTCGTAGGGACCTATACGACGCGTCTCACTGTAAGATGCAATATTTTCCACAATCCTGTGTTTATACTGTTGTGTATTTCAGATTCGACTGGTTCGATTCGTCTTTCCGGTTCGATTTGTCTTTCCGTTTCGATGTAATCGCTTTGAGCTAAGATTGTTTGTTTTCCAATTCCAAGAGGGTGTGTGGCATGTGAGCGATTGCTGTGTATTTATCTAAAAATGGACTCGTAGGACGCTTCTTTCCTATAGTAAATCGACCTCGTTGTTTCATACCGCGTGATGTTGCGACAGTGTAATTAATGAATGAGCTGGAATGAGTGAATCATGAGCATCTGTTGACGAACAAAGTGCGGGGTGATGGGAAGGATGGGGTTGTGTTTAACCCGGGTCGGTGCCCAGGGCGGCCCAGGAGCGAAAGCTGGAGGTGGGTCCGCGTGGCCCGATACGCCTAAGCAAGGACCGCAACTGATGTCTGGAGGCACCCTCACTCCCGCCGACCGACACGGCTCAGTTCAGGTAACTTGTGAGACATGCAGCGAGCAACCAGTCCGGTCTACGCACGTCCCTTGTCCACTTCGCGATGACCTCGAAAATGCAATTCTTTAATTTCCTTGTCTTGAAGTATTTATCGTAGTTAATTTAATTCTAGAATTTCCCGATTTTGTAGAAGTCTTGAATCCGCATCTGCTACTCTTTCTTATATCAATATCCTTGTAAGCCTCTTTGTCGCATTCTTTAACGTGTACCATGTTTTTAGTATATACGACAAAACAATGCTCTAATTCTTTCAAGCTAGTTTCTCGTATAGTGAGATTCTTCAAGCTAATAAGGATAATTGTTCGCGAGAACTGAGGTAGCTTTTCGATTATATGCCCTTATTCGCTGCCTGATCCAGAATTTTTTTAAGACGGTCAACGTGGATAAAACAACACCATAAATGGTTATTATTTTTCTTTGCGCTTTAGTTTATCCGATGATATTCCCAATCAATCTCGAGTATCGCGTTATAGCTTGAGTTTTATCCGAATTTTTAAATTTAAGTAAATTAATTTTATTAAATTTAAAGTCGGTCAAAACTAATGGGCTTACCAACCTTTGAAACAATTTTCAGCTCTAAAAATCCTGTAGCATTTTGTTCTCGGTTACTTTATTCTGAACATTAGCCTATTACCCTCGAAAATACTCTTGTCATATCTCGTGTTATTTTTCTCCACAACCTAGATTTATGAGTATAAAATCCTGCAAATGTATGTTTTATATCGCTCTCAAAGCAACAAATTTGGTGCAAGGTATTTTGCATTTCATTTACTTTTTTGTGACCTTTGTACTTCGGAAATTTCTATCGTCGATTTTGGAAAATTATGTTTGTTTCCTACTATTAGTGCGGCTTCAGACCTGTCAGGCATTGACTCAGATTCAATAGAGTTTGGTTCTCGTAGTTAATTTTAATTGAATTTTATTTTTTGCAATCTTAATTGTGCATGATCAATGTGAGTGGTTTTCATTTGAACTTCGTAATGTCTTTAATTGCATGACGTTTTTCATTAGTCTATCTAATTATTGCATGCTATCTGTGGTGGTCTACGCGTGTTGTCTTTCGTCTTGATTCTGGCACACAAATAATAGTGCAGTGTACAGAGTTTTTTTGCTGTATAAAGGATATTAGTTCTGAAGTATTTCATCATATGAATATAAATATTATCCATTACCGGGACTCCATTCGTGAAATTGTCGTGTCTGTTCATCCCATAGATTTTCTGATGAACCTCCAGCTGCAAGTGAATTACTTTGTAAAAATATTCTAAATTGTTACGTATTAAATTGCAAGTGCCTGATTTTAACAAATGATGTTGGTCTTTTAACAGTAAATTTTCGCTCTTCGTATGTGCAACTGTTGTACAAGCCTCGTCATATGCTTGAATTATTTGTGTAGAAGTTGTTCTTAATATGATGACACTGGCTATAGTGAACTGCATTACCTTTTTACTAAATCTAACCATTCTTTCGTTCTCCCACTATGATTCATATAGATATGATAATCGGTAATTCTGGTTTCAGTTTAAACCCAATAGGTTATTACTTCCTCTAATTTTGTTGATATCTACTTGTAAAGAATAACAGGTGACTTGGCTTAACGATAGACTCTGATCTTTATAAATACTTCAATAAACGTAGTTTCTGCTGGCTCGGCAAATATATTAGCTATCTACGTCGTCTAAACTGATATACAGACGTGCGCCTTTAGCAGCCCTTCTCGCAAGTAATACTAAGATTAATTAAGTACAGCATTACCTTACGCATTTCTTCTATTAGCGCGTGGTGCACTTATAATTCTAATGTCGCTTCACGATTTTAGAAGTTGATCCTCTAACTCTTCCATTACTTGGTTCTATCATAAGTTTATCCCACAACTCGTACATTTGAGTAACCGAGTTATGCTTGCAGGTTGTGAGCTCCACCAACGGTGAGCTTGGTCCTGATGATGCCTTGGGGGGACATTCGTCTACACCCATCACCGTGCACCAGGAACCCGAGTCTCCCGATGAAACCAAGTCGGTACTATTTCATCTCGTGTCACATTTAGAACTAATTTATCTCGCATGCTAGTTGAAACTAATTCATCTCGTGTGACATTTAGAACTAATTCATCTCGCATGCTAGTTGAAACTAATTCATCTCGTGTCACATTTAGAACTAATTTATCTCGTGTAACGTTTAGAACTAATTCATCTCGCATGCTAGTTTAAACTAATTCATCTCGTGTCACATATAGCAATAATTCATCTCGTGTCACATTTAGCAATAATTCATCTCGTGTCACATTTAGAACAAATTCATCTCTGCGACATTGACGACTAATTAATCTCGTTTAAAACTTGGCCTGCGCTGATGACAAGAATGAAACTCGTTCAGTAAATATCCTCTGAATAGGGTACAAAAGCACGGTGTTGTTTAATTTTTGCAACGAAATTAATTAAATAATTTGATGAATTGTTTGTCGGTATAATATAATGAATTGTTTGTTGGCGTAAGTTTACTCTAATTTTTTTCATTTTTGTCTAAATGTTATTTTTTTCTTGTCATAACTCATAAGATTGCCCATTATTCATACTCTATATTCGACTGAAATGTATTTGTGTAATTTTTTGCTTCTCCGATTTGACTTTTTCAGGGAAAAAATGTGTTGGACTATGAATGTGTCATTTTAATTCTCACGCTACGAAGCGAACTTGTCCTGAATATGCCAGACTTGTTACTTTATAAATCATACTTCTACCCGCCTCGTTTTTGTTATATAGTAATGGATATTGATGTTGTGGCAGGTGCTGCTGTTTCTTTAAGCGCCACGCGAAGAAGGCAGGAGGAGTGAGAGGAGGCAAGTGACTCGCCGCTGTGGTACAGCGCTCCAGCGAACGCCAAGCTGTTGCTGTGCTGCTGCCTCCCGCTCTCAACGCTCATGCCGATGACGAAGAAGATGAGGCTGTTGCGGCTGTCTCTTGATATCAGTAGACGGTGACCGAACAACTCAGCTACCACCGTCATCAATGCTCCGAGATAATTATATAATTCTGAGCAATTGGACTGTGGTGGCAATAGATTTATAATATTTTGAGGACCCTGATATCAAGGTTAAATGGACGTTAATTACTGGATTATTTTTATGCTGATATGTGTGCTCAACTGATTATTTCAGGACTGATTGGGCAATGAGATTCAGTTCCGATCATCCAACGTCCATTTTTTTGGGTGGAGGATGCGGCATACCGTAGCATTTTCGTGTCTTGGGAACCGTGTTCCAGTGCTCAGGTTCTATTTATTTCGCTGACCGTTGCGGCGTACCGGTATTGAAAGCAAGTACGTTAATGTAACCAACATAAGAGAGAAAGCGACATCGATTGCATATGACTGAAATTTATATCGCCTTTAGTTGATTACGTAAAACCTCTAGATTTACGTTGTTCCTATCAATTATTAAGGAGAAGCATTAATTCTGATTCTCTGGACCATGGCTTCTCGCCATTCGTTCGGGGGACACCTTGCGGTAATTTATTCAATTCTATCTCTAAAATAATATGTATTAATTGTAATGATTAATTCATCCAATGAATAAGATGGATGGAAGTATTAATTTAAAAATGACGCACGACCCAAAAAAGGAAAAGGGATTACATGGAAATACACGCATATTTCATGCCCTCATGTGGATTGCTTACCGATTCTCGCCAATCTGAAAGAATATAACTTAGTACTCACTGCAGTGAGTGACAGAGAGCGCATTTTCTCATCGACGAAAACTTGAGGTCACGGACGGACGGACAGACAGACGGACATGGCGAGCATAATAGTGCATTTTTTCCATAAATGAAAAAATGCGTTAATAATAGCCGTTGATATGTAGGAGTGCGACTTATTCTGGAATTCGGAGTAGAATTCACCATGCGCTGGTCCGATATTAGAATCCTATTTAAAATTCTATTATTTCCTCTAAATATTGAAATATTTCCTAACTGCCGAATAGTTGAAGTTAGGCGAAGAAATTGTAAAAATTTTGTATAGAATAATATTTTTCTGCATTTCCCTACAATCGGGTAACTTCGACGCTGATCTATTGAGTTACCTTTGTTAGTTTTATATTCTCCTATGTGCCGTTATGAGTAGTCACCCGTTTTAATTTCCATTTCACTTCAATGGATCGCCAACTCCCTTTCCATTGTTAATTGCAATAATTTTTTTGCAAGTACGCGAGACGTTGAGCTCAGTGTACCAACAATATTTGTGACAGCTTTTCAAGTCGAGCAAAATTATCTGCTTCGAAACTGTGCCTGTGATACCACCTGTAGCTACACGCTGCCTATCCTACTGCTTGCTCTAGTTAGCAAACTAGCACTGGCGAACGGTATTTTTGAACATTCGCTGGTACATCTAGCAGGAGGTGATTCTAGGTAAATTTAAAGATATTCTCAGCCTGGGCGAGACATTTATTGGCTGTCTAATTTTGTAAACTGATAGCATTCGTCCCTTTTGTTCGGCCCTTACCTTTATGATGATTTTCGTTTTCCATTTAGCTTTGAACTTTGAAGATGCAGGCTGCGGCTTGATGTTAATTATTTCATGCATATACTAATCAAATTCTATCATCTCGATATATGAGTCATTAAACTTTCCTTATTAGTTTCTAATCTCCTATTTTCTCCCTGAACACATTAATTGCGTTCAGTTTTTTTTATTGAGGCACCTCTGAAGGCTGAGCTCACACCTAGTCTTGTGTATTCTTGATACTTTCAGGTCTTGGTGTTTAAATGTCTGGAGTCGTGCTTCATTTTTTGGGTTATCAAAATGGGTTTACGATTCTTGACCTGAAGCTGTCTTAAGAGGATATCTATACCTCATGGCACCTATCATTGTATTCCTCTTTGGTATCTACACGCAAGTCAAACTCATTTCCTTACGCTATAATAAGTAGTTCAACATAGCTCGTGTTTTGTATGAAAAATCCTCCCCCGATCTTTAGCCCTCGGAGGTCAAAAAATTGTAGTTATATTTCATCAAGTATACAAAATGCACACAATAAACTATCTTGTATGTCTTTTTCGTTGAGGTGCAAAGTTGTAAACTAATCAACCCGATTGCGGTTTCTAGTTGTTCCGAGTGACTGCGTGATTTGGCTGTGGTGCTTATCTAATTCTTAGAGAGAGCCGAACCACAGCCAGTTTTTTTTTCTTTCTCGTCAAGAGTGTTAAATTAATGCTCAGACGTGAATGGAGAGCTGCCCTTCCCTTTCTGACGTTACCCTTCGAATCCCCTAATACTCGCACTAGCAGTGCTGTGATGTGTCCTGCTCTATCAGTGTGTATATGTATGATAGCATTTGGTGATGAGTATTATATAAGAACATGTGATTATAGGATTTATTTTGTAAATATATAATGTAATAAACTCTAGAGGTGTCCTGCGCTTGGTGTTCACAAAGGCTCGCTCAATGGAAATAATCGGTGAAAATTATGGACTCGTCAGAAAATTTGAACCGGTGAAACGAAATAAACTAATAATCGAAAGCATTGCTTATTGTGGTGTTGATATGGACTAGCATTTGTTAATAAAATGACCCGGAGTTGAGCTGTAAGTGATTATAAGTGACAAGTGAAATGTGGCACCTTGAGCGTGATCGACTGTTGAGTAGTGCGAGAACTACTGCGAAGAAACTTTTAGATGTGCATCACTCATTGAACGCGCTTTTGAAGTGTTGGTGTCAAAGGAAACAATACCAACGATCTCAGAGAGCAACGTTGGTACGTGCACTCTTTCATGTAAACTAGTATTCCATGTTGCCTGGTGACAGTTAGCCTTTCACTCACTAAGCGGTGATCCTGCCTGTACTATTTATTTGCTGTACATTTTTCCTCCGTGTGTGTGCTGTTGCCCGTACTCGGCGGCACTTTAAATGTTTCTTTCTCTCTTCAAATGTTATAAGTTGATCAATAGGTGTACGTTTTGTGTAGAGTCGTGCATTTTATCGTCAGCAGTTGAATATTACTCGATTCCTTTTAACGATTAATTAGTCATTATTGAGTAATTCCCTGTTGCGTCTAACTTCATTGCCATTGTTCTTTGTACTATTACCTCTCATTTAGCGGCGCTAATCATAGTTAGCTTAGTTGTGGAAATTCCGTTGTATCGATGGAAATATCTTACTAATTTGTTATGACCAGCATTCTCTATCTTGCCCTCTTAGTCTGCCACTGCGCCCACACTGACATCTCGGTGATCTAAATTCCTTGCGTGGTGTTTACCCCGAATTTCCTTATGAAGTAGAAACTTTGTGTTGACAATGTCGTATCTTCATTTGTGCGGGCCAGCGCTGTGTTTGCTTATATTATAAAGCTCCGATGATTGGGCTTTATTTTCATTGTCTGTGGCGGTAATGGTTTTTCTTGTTGTTCTGTAGCCATTATATGCAGCAGCGGTGTCACAGTAGTCTGTAGCTCACCTGTTGCACGAGGGCCCTGCGATATATGCTCGCATGGTCTCATCTTCAATGTGTTTTTTCCTTTTAATGTTTTGTTAACTGTTCATAGAATAGACTGCTACTGATGTGTATCAATTTTTTATCAACTTATTTTATCATTAAATAAATGATAAGTGAATAGAAATCGTGTTTTATTCTATGTTAGGTTTCCTCTCCAACTTCAACTGAAATTCTGTGAAGATTATGTTTCATTCTATACTCCTCATAGATAAGAGCCTGCAGGTGCAATAGCTAGTTATATCTATTGAGGGGCTAGACTCTCCCCCGGGCTTACCCGTGTCATCTTGGCGTTTTAAAAATACTTCAGTTGTCCTTTCTCAGTATTACCCTGTCAATGCTGAGGGTAGCAAGTTCTAAATAGCATTTATAGATTGTACCCTGTAAAAGGGTATCTATGATAAGAGTATGAATTGCGAAGCCCGATGACAAAATTTGTTGTAATTTTCACTGAAACGGTCGGTGTGTTTGCTTATGAACAGGATCATCTAATCTTCCCTGAACCTCTGGACGAACGTTGATAGAGAATTAAGTTCAATGAACGATCGTTTTCCTAATACGAACATCAAGAAAATTTTGGACAAAACTATGTAAGTAATTTTTATTTATGATTATTAATAATTATATTTTATTATTGCAAAATTAATTACTCGCAGCGCTGAATCGATTACTTCAACATTGATTGCATTCCACCTGCCCACTATACGGTGTTCAGCTTATATGTGGTGCGGGATGAAATTGCGGCCGGCCGAGATCGTAAATGTAAACAAATTAAGGTTAGATGGTTCAAGCAAAGTGTGATTCAATGATGGAAGAAGTCGTATTAAAATTAAATCCCAAGACAGTAGCGGTCTCTAAATGCAAATAAACCTATAAGCTAAAAATATTATGGCAGGCATCTCACTACATGAAACAAGCCTTGCTCCTTTCTATTCGTCCTTGAATAATTTATAAATTGGTGCGTTGTTAATAGAAAACACTCAGTTTTTGAAAAGGATGTCATGCAATTGACTTGAAAAGGAGTGATTTGATCGCAAATGTTTGCGTTTTTAGTTATATCGCGAGCTATAACATCGATCGCTTCTTTTAAACCTTGAGATCCAAGCTTTAGGAGCGTTGTTCTAGTGCAAGCCTCCGCAGAGTTCGAAGTACGACTCCCGGTCAACGGATTTTAAGTTTTTAAAGTCGTAGGTTTCCACTCACTTTCCTCCTGTCTTTCATGCGGAGCGACTTACCGCTATACACGGTGTGTGTTGGAACTTGGACGAGCAATGTGCTCTAGTCTCAGTTCACCAATATTCTCCTCATCTTACAAAATGCCAACGCTTCTATGATTCTTAACATCTTCAGCTCATTGTATTTTAAAACGTTACGCCACTCTTTGGCGATGCAGGATTTTCTGTTAAAAACAGTTACTACGGTCGATACTCTACACCTTGTTATGAATGGGTGAATGTCGATGCATTATTTCCTGCTAGCTGGAGTACTGGTGAAATTTCTTTTATTTATCAACCAAATGGCGATGATTACACCAATCAAATAGTGATGAACGACTGATGATTAACCGATTCCACTTAAACGACTAATTAACGTTATTGAAACGTCATGCCGGGGTAATACTACTCACGATTTAACAAACTCAGTGACTACGGTAGTTACCCCTTTGAAGACTCGTATTCAGTGCAATATGTTCTGGCTTTTTTAAACACTCTGAGTCAATCTAGCTGGGCTACTCGTTGATGCCATTCTAAATCTTGAGAATTAAGCACATAGATGGAGTTTCATGGTATGAAATTATTTCAATAAGTATCATAGGACATTTATTGGAAATTTATAAATGTTTCAATAAGTATCATTACAAAATTCAAGAAGTATCATTGGACTTCTTAAAGCAGCTCAATATTGTGCTGATGGCTTTTTCAAGGTAATTTTGTTCTCATTGAGGTATCTGTTAAATGACCGTAGGAATTTTTAACTTGATATGTTAAGCGACGCACAAATGATGGAGGATGACAAGATGGCTAAACTTTGTTCAATTTTAGAGAAGAAATGCAACACCATAGAAAAGGTTTGTTTACATATTCGTGTTGATGTTTTTCTTTATCTAGCTTCAAATAAAGCGACCCTTGAATAATTTTATACACTGTCCAGTGAAGAGAAATTTGTATGTTGTATCATGTGTGTTGTGTATAATTTTTCGTGTTGTATAAATTGTAAATGGTTGCTGTAGTCCATGCATTTTTTTTTGAGTACATCTTTCGTTTCTGACAAGAATCAACACCTTGGTTTTAGTGAAGTTCTCTGTAAAAAACATAATGTGGTTATGAGAGTAACATTTTCAGAACTCGGTGTATTAACAGTTTAGTAATAATGCGGGCAAAACTGAAAATTTAAAATACCATCTACTGAAAAAAGTAGTCGCCATCTGAGTCTTGTGATACGCTACTACAAAACGCTTGCTTTATGAAACAAATTAATATTGTTCAAAAAATATATATATATATTTAATACATAATATGCGATCTATATTATCTGAAATTAATTAATGTCATTAAAATCCTGTAATCGTCATGACTCATTAGAATAATGTGATGAAAGCATATAGCTGTTTATTATGTTATAAGAGAACTCTAAGGTCATCACTAATTTGAATTCGTTAAGATTGATTATATTTTAAATGTGCTCGGTTGTGAAGCCGCGTTCACTTGCCGTCGATATTTTATCAGATAAATTAAACTCGTATTAAATGGTAATATCTCTACGCCCGTGTCCGACAATATTTTACAGACAATATTTTTTAGTATTTTTTCGTAGTAAAAAGTGTAATTTTTTGCAGGAAAATCTGATGTTGGCTCATCGAATCCTGCAAGCGCGAAAATTAGTGAGACGTTGCAAGGAAGACATAGAGCTGCTCAAGACCGAGTTAGAAGCGCACGACGTCGACTGGGCCGCTGGACACGTGGAATTTCTGCTCCACTCAGACGACGAAGAGCTTCATCCCACGGATGGGCATAGATAAAGACCCTAATAAGCAGAGCAGTATCTAGGTCAGTATCTAGGTTTCTTCAGATTACTCGATATCTTATTTAGAGCCACCAATTAATTTAAGTGAATGTTGAATTAAATGTATGCTAGATTTGTCAGACGTATTTTACGTTCACTGCACATATGCCGGCGGTGAGGTCAAATTTGTACCAGTTTACCGTTGTTAACTTTACTGGCAGGGCGCGCTAGATCATGAAATAAATTGATCAAACCTGCAATTTGTCCTTCAATAGTCGAGCTCCAGCTTATGTTAATGTACTGTATATCACAGGGTATTTATTCACTTCTATTGGACCAAGTGTTAGATGAATGCACATCAAGTTGTTTCATCAAACAACAATGAGGTATGCGTTGTAATAATCACGTGGTTTTTACAGAGATGATACAGATTATTCCGCCCTTTAGTACCTGCGAAAACTGCTTCTATGATTTAATCTTGTCGCTCTTGAACACTGAGTGCAACAATACCCAAAGTTATGTTTAACTTCGCCTCATTTATTCGTGTTGGCTTCTGGAATGGACGCATTGAGCGTCCACACAACTAACTTGAGATGACCGCACATAAATGCGACATTAAAATTTGCTCTGTCCGTCCTTAGTCTCAAATATGGTGAGTATTGCTCCTCGTTCTCCGTTGCGGCTGGTCACAGCGTTGTAATTACATCAGAGTTCCAACAACGTCGGCCAAATTTTTGCCTTCGTACTCTTGTTTCTTCAGTTTCACATAGTGAGTAAAAATGAACTTTTTTTGCTCTCACTATAGTTCATGTTTTTCTTTTTTGAACTTGTTACGTGAATGCTGAGGGTATTCTAGTTAATCTGGATTAGTTTCTGTTAAATCACACAAATTAGATTCTCGTCTTCTCTGTTCACTAAAACGACAATGTTTCGCTAAAAAAATAGAGCTGACGTACGTTGTATTCGAGTTAGCCGATGTCTTGCAAATAAAATTGTCAAACTTGTTAATTTTGATTTCTGACTGTAAATGATACATTGTCAATGTTTTTTGTGTCAGTTGTATGTTTGTCGTGTAAGAATAGTTTTTACTTTCATAATTGCGTTTCCTTGCAATCAAAGGAGCCAGCGAAAGTGTTTAATTTATGTTAGTGTATAAATTTCGAAGGGTTGCATTTAAACTTGCGATTGATCATTAAAGACGTTTTACTGAGACGTTTCTTCTTGAAAATTTACTGTTAAAAAAAAGAGTTCAAAATGTTATAGGAACCTTGAAAGCTACTTTGCACCTAGTGGACAATACAAAATAATAAAAATAGAACATAACGTACATAGAGCCTTTGGAGAGTTTTGAACAACGGTAGAGACAATAGAGAATCATCATGTAGGTAGAGATGAAAACATCATCAGAATGAATACTAACGTTGGATTGCATTGCTAACGCAACGGTGGGACAAGACAAAATCGAGCATATAGTAAAGACATGATTACCACTAAATGATTCGCGCAATTCGCAAGATATGGCATAAAAAACTAGGGATCGTCAACTAAAAACTAATGAGTACAAGTTTTCGATGGCTATTTCCACCAAAGAAAGGAAATCGTACAGAGAGCGTAGAAAAAATGCTTATTGTCGGAAAAGCGCAGCGGTACATAGTGGGCAGTAGATTATCTAACACGAATTTGAGTAATAAATGAGACCAACACTTACGCTCCACCCATCCGGCAAGAAAAAGTTCTTCCCAACAATTCAATATTCGATCGCATTGTACATCAAATACCGACTAGTACTGAGCAGTAACTAAGCGGTCTAAGCCCTAGGGAAAAATAATTGAAGAAAAGATGGCTTCCTACTAAACAAATTCAAAATCCAGAGGACATAGTTCTTATTACAATGATCACAATTTACAATGAACAAAATCAAGACATTTAAAAAAATAACCATAACGCTCTATTCAAATTAGCGAATATCATAAACGCTTTGTACATTTATACAAGAATTGATACGATACAAGTTACTGCAATAGATGAGACCGAATCGATATATACAAACAACAAAGGACAAAAAAAAAAATGTATAATAATAATAGCTAATGCTCTGGAAAAAACTAATACATTCGTAACAAATCCCGAACAATGCCTGATAAAGGCGGAGGCCAAGGTGACCAACTACCGGTATACAGCAATTGTCAGGTCATCAATACACCATTGCATTTGTCTCATTTAGGAACAAGTTTGATCAACATCAGTAGAAACTTACACGTTACTGATCGACTTCAGTAAAAACGTACAAATTCGGTGAAAAATCACTAGAAAATCACACGGCTTAAAACCTAATACCGACTACAAGATTACCGCTTATCAGGAAAGCTTGGTCTGCCTTCAAGAGAAGCTTAATTGAGAGAATGTCGTGCATGATGAAATCATATGCTAGTAAAGTTGCTGCGGGCTCGTCAATGTGACCTTTGAGTTAGGCATCATAAAGTTGATCAATTTATAATTGGCACTTATTTACACGATTTAACCAAGTTGTCCGCGTGCGCACGGTGGACAGCTGAAAGCTCGTACAACTAACTTGTCTAAAATCTAACTTGAGATGACCGCACATAAATGCGATATTAAAATTTGCTCTAAGCATCAAAATTGTGGAAGAGGCGCCTGATTCTTATAGTAACTAATACCTACATCGTTGGCAAAAAAATATACGTTATGCAAAGCCCATAATTTTTACACCCTATGAATTGAAAAAAAAATCATCTCAGCGCTCTTTTAAGCTCATTTTACTTCCCAAGTGTTATTTATCTGGTTAAAATTCCGATTAAATTAAATACGAATCAACTTTTGAAATGTAGCAAGAAGTCCCTCATGAATTCTACCAATTTATACTCGAGACATGATGATGAAATTCAGTTTGACGTCATTATGCAACTGACAGCATCACACACCAGGTTACGAACAACATGCTGCATGCCGCTATGATAAGCCACGCAGAGCTTAAATTTGACGATTACGTTTGCTTGACTTCTTACGATATCACGACTACATTGTTTTATAATTTGTAAGTAGCCAGAAGCTTGAAAAAAATGTATACAATTTTGGAGGTAACTTCTACATTGTATTTTACGAATAATTTGAATCGAGGAATTGTATTTAATTTTGAGGATCCTCTCCTACATTTTACTTCATGTCGATTAAGAAAGCTATCGATACGTCAATATAAATGAAATGTTAGGAAAATCAACAGGAGTACAAAATACGAGTATCTAGTTATGAGTAATGATCATATAGAAAAAGAACAACCGTAAAATGATCAATCAGCTAATACCGAAAAATAACTTATCTAATTTCAAGGGGCATAACGAGATACACACTGGAGGCATATAAAAACAATATTGAAGTCGTGACCATGTTAACGATGTGCCCCAGCACGACCGGTCTGCAGAGAGAACAAACGCCTACCTACACGGGCGTGAGAGCTGTAGAAGATGAAGCCCGGGGCGGCATACCCTGACGAGGGAAGGACAGAACAAACGCCTACCTACACGGGCGTGAGAGCTGTAGAAGAGGAAGCTCGGGGCGGCATACCCTGACGCGGGAAGGACAGAAGTCGCTCGACGGTGATGGCAACCCGAACACTGCCGCGCTCCTCCAGGACATCAGCAGCCGAGCAAAGGTACGGCTGTTAGGGACAGGAAACTTGTCAATGTGCTGCCAACAATTAGGGTTACACTCTACTCAAAGTATACAATAAGATTGGAATGCAGTCGTTAGAATTTTAAGAGGTATTCATTAAAATAAATAACTGTAGATTTCAGTCATAATTCATAAGATAGATGAAGTTAAGAGTGGTAACTACACGAAAATTGGTGGAAATATAAAAGTGTTCAGAAAATGCTGGAGGATGGATGGGTAAAAATATAGATCTGCAGCTCACCTTTAAGTCGAATACGGAGGGATAAGGTACATTCATTATACGACAACCTTAACAAAAACAACTCAACAGCCAGATTAGTATCGACAAACCTTTTTATCCTGGAGAATGCGCGAGCAGAGATGAATCTTGGAATTTCCTAAGCAGCAAAGGTTGAAGCAAAAGATTGCAATAACACTGATTTTTATTGGGAATGTCTAGTGCAAAAAAGGATCCTTTTAAGGTCGCGCTCAGGAAGATGCATCATTACCATCATCACCTACCCAGAGGAAATAAGTGTTTTTTAACCCATTAATATTGGGGCACAAATTACGTTGAATATTTCAATGCTAAAACAGACCCAGGCAGTGCGAAAAATTTGTCCATTATATTCGGTTGCGTTGGATAAGTAAACTGAGTTTATACTAAGGAAATACCGATACATTTTGTGACGCTTGTCATACCAAACCAATCAAGCTCAAAGGAAAGACAGGCTCATCGTTCTTGTAGTGAAATTATCACTTCATTATTATTGCAATACTTCAATACATTCAATATGCAGAAAAGTTCATTCAAGTTCGCTTTCTCGTTCGGCTCGACCCAGGAACATGAAAACCACTTAAATCTAGAACAAGCTACTGTGGAAGTCAAACTACATTTTAACGTACTTTACTATCATTAACTGTTAAGTATGAACAGCACCGTTCAAGTAGTGAAATCACTGCGCAGTAAGTCAAAGAAACCAAACATTTAATTGAATAGTTGACCATTAGAATGTTTGCACGCTTATTTGAGGAAATTGTCTTCACACATACCAAAATTTCATTTTCATAATCAAATGATCGACATCTTCTTGAATATTTACTATGCCAGTTTGATCACTCACGGCAACAATAATTACATACAGGTCTTGAATGACAAAATGATGTACCGTACAACACTTGAAAATAAAATCTGCCTTATAGAAGAAGAAATGATGCAAGTACGTGGCACTTTCGTACGTGACAAGTAATCTATGGAAGGCCTAAGATTGGAAGCAAATCCAGCAGCAGAGCGAGCGTTATTAAAAACAGCGGTAGGGCTGTAGTTCAAGCAGTTACATTGAAAATAAATCTTATTAATACAATATTTCACGCTCCTCAATATAATTAGATGAAACAGACACCAATTTAAGTCATGCCAATCACGAACGTTATGTGTACGTATATTCGAGCGGCACAGAGCAATACATTGTTGTAGGTTTTAAAACATTCGTTCTAAATAAACTTGCGAGTGGTTTTCTTTTGTGCGTTTCGAGAAGGAAAACGGAAGTAAGAGGTCAGTTAATAATATCATAGTTGCAATAATCATTTGATTAAATGGTAGATCAAGCAAGTAGGTTGCTGCAATACGCTTAAGTGATTTAAATGAATTTGTCGCGTTCCATTGCTGGATCAACAGTGGTATACTTACTTCGCAATAGAAAAAAGGAACATCGAATCGTAATACCAATCGGTGGAATCAAAGGCTTTTCACACGATCTTGCTAAGAAAGTAGCGTCATACGAATATTTGTAACATTACATCACATACGGGAGACAAACATGTCTTTATAGGTATATCATTAATTGGCAATGGAAAACATATTAATACGGTACAGATATGGCGATCATGCTGGAGGTGCAGTAAATATTAAGCTATACCTTCATTATAGCTCCTAAAAAATGATGTTCTCGAAGCATACCACAGTTGCAGGCTTAGCTACAGAAATTGTGCTAGGAAATTTGATAAAATGGGGCCCTGTACAGGGAACGTTAATTTCATACATCTCGGACTAGGTTAAAATGTTGAACCATAAAAAAACTGAAACAGAGAGCTCCATAAAATCAGTCTATCTCTTAATTTTCACAAATCTTTGGTAAAAAACTAAGGTAAAAGTACAATCGTCTACAATATCCTTAAGAGGTTACAGCCTGTCTATTGAAATATCGAAAAAAGGTTATTCGAAGGTTGATTGAAATCATCTTGAAGTTGTAACCTGTTGGCATCTTAGAATGCAACAGAGATCAGGCCCAAACCACTTTTAATCCGACACTTCCCTATCATGGTATCTTTGGCTTCACTAATTTAGACTAGAAAAAAATTGGCATAGATTAAAAGCTCTCAGTCGTTAAAAACACTATATGTCTTTCTCACATTGACTTTTTATTTAGTTATCTAAAGTTAGCTCTTTTATTCATATTACACAGTAAAAAGCACCTGAACAAATGTTACTTAATGAATCCGCTAATACGGATATATCAACTGGAAATTCTCTTCACCTATATGGTAGACATCTTATTATATCTTATATCCGAACACTCTACGTTGCGAGAAATGCCAAATTGAGGGGCAAAAGTTACACAACCTTTCAATGAAAATTAAACCTTTGATAGGGCTTCATACACAAATAATTCACTGAAACATAATGAAGAATTGCACGATTTAAAAATAATAACTTGCTACGTGACCGTTGACGTTTTTGCATTACCACAAGTTTCGATGTTTGTAATCTGCACTGAAAACACCGACAAAGTTCAGTAATCTCCCACAAAAGTCAGTAAAAGTGCAGTTGCCATGAGAAAGATTCGCCACAAGAAATAAACGAGCATGGCATCAGGATAGCGCCAGAGCGCGCATAATACAGAAGCTACATTTTTGCTCGCTCGCAATCCCGCGTTCAGTGGCAGCAATGAATAGGTGTGAACAATGAAACAGTAGCAACTGTTGCAGAGGCACTCGATGGAAGCTGGTTATGAGCCTGGTAAAAGCCTTAATCTTATGCTATCTTTATCTACTGATGCCCATATATATATATATTAGCTTCACATAAATCTGGCAAAAATAAAATCTTGACTCACAGCAGCTCATATTTTAGAATTCTGATGAAAGACCGTAAACCACAATACGGATGAAATCTTCGGGCGATTTATATAATTGTCGAAACTGAATTGAGAAAAACGACATGAAAGAACGAGACGAAAAATATCACATCTTCATCACCCTTCATAAATATTCTCCGAACACAAAATGCCATACGTCATGAGCATGAAAATTTCGAAAGTTTAGTATGACTCAATCGTACGTCATCGCACACGCAACGGCCAAAAAATGTTTTGACACTGTCGTGCTGCAGACAAACAGGACAAGCACAAGCAAAGCTTAATGAGGAAACTTACACGAGGCTTAAATTCAGTACATTACCATCAACAGATCATTGTTGATGGCGACCATACAGTTCTAATTGAAGAAAAGCATAAGGTGCACACCCGAAAAAGGGAGCACCTTAATCACGACATCAGACCTTTTGATCAGCGTAACGCTATTATCGTATATATTAAGAAAAAAAATAGATAAAATGCCGAGACGACGCAAAGTTGGCCTACTTAGGGGGCAAGGTCGGCAAATTTACTGCCCTATTGGAAACATTATTAGTAAAGCTGAACTCAGTATGAAAAATGCAAGGAGGAATAGCGACAGAAGTCTGTCGTCTCTTACAGGCAACGGAGCGGTGGCCATAGCAGTGCTTGTAGGAGTTACCAGAGTTTCATCAACGGTTTTTATAGGCACTTCAAAAAACGCCGATTGTGCATCGACTGAGAACTTATCTAAAACAGGCCGAGCATGAGAAATGACAGCACCAACACCTATGTTAGAATCAGAGAGCACACTAGAGGCACATTTGTGGGGCAAAGATCCTTGCATAGGCACTAATTTATTACAGCCATTCGTAGAGGTTACAAGATCAGGCACACTGAGGTCCAAACTTCCGCCCGAGGTTAGTCGCTTTGTGTTCAAAACGTCAACCGCAGCAGAACCGGAATCATCGCGAGACTCGGTGACTGTGGTAATTTCAGTCATCGTCGGGTCCCATTTATCCGGTTGATCAACATCAGAGAGGAGTTTGACTTCAGTAGGCGAGTGTTGATTTTCTTCACGAGAGGACTCTGAACATTTTTCGCGTTCAGGCGAAGAGTTTCCTTCAAGGCTGTTCAGACGACTCTCGAATGCTATAACTAAACTGTTCACTCTATGGCCCGGCCGATCGGATGAGCTTTCCATCGCCGTATTGTTATTTCCAGACGAAGCAGAGCCGAGGTGGCATCGTTCAACGTTTACTTCAGAGCTCCCAAATTCCACTGCGACATCTGAGTGCCGTTTCCTCTCTTCTACGGAAGTGTCAAAATCGTTTTCGGCATCGACAGGACTCTTCTCCAAACTTTCAGTAATTTCCATGTCATTTTCACTCACTATCAAGCCTAGCTCAGCGCAATTTACCCTTCGGTTCGCAACTACAGGGTCAAGATTAACACTGCCATTAGATTGTGGTACGGACTTCGCAGGGGGAGGCAGAAGATGTTGAAGGACATGTGGCAGCGGTTGGTCGGGAAACACAAGCCTGTGTACGGTGGCAAGTACGAGTTCAACATCAAAGGGCGGCTCCACGATGTTGTCTGCTGTGAACAGCAAGTCCTGTAAGACAGGCAGGCAGCAAGTGAAGCCTGCAATCTTCGAAAGCAACCATACATAAACCAACAAACAAGTATCATATCAAGGCATAAACCAAAATTTTTCGGTCAATTATGATAGCTAACTCGTTCATTTAAAATCCAAGCGCATATTTTGGAAAATGGGCCTTTAGTAAACTTTGGATTTGTAGCTATCAGTAAAATTCACCGAATTGTATCATATTAATGGTCACTCAGCAATGACGATAGGGAACGAACTACATTCATAATATCCAATGCAGCAACAATTGGAACTAGAACTGAAATATAATTACTGAAACTATTGATGGGCGAAGCAACGAAATGTAGTCTAAGCTCAATACTTTTATTTAATGAAAGTATAATCGATAACAGAATAAGAAGCGTAGGAATACTCTGAATTTGATCTATGATAAGGATAACCAAAAACTAAGCATCTCAAGCATCAAATTCACACAAGATTTTATTGATCTAACTATGATTTTTTGTAATAAAAGAAAACTGAAAGGAATAACAAAAGTAACAGCTAGTGCAGCGACAAGTCTCAGTTTGCCAACTTTTGAAAATTTTAAACAAAAAGCCTGTACACAAAAAGTCTTTTTACAGCCAGAACACGAGATAAATTCCATGTGCATGGTGAATAGTGCAGTGTTTGTTGTGACACAAAACAAGATGGTCGCACTCTGAAACTCGTTAAGTTTGAATCTCACAGGGGAATTTAAAACTTTAGGGTAAAAACTAGGTCAACAGCCACTGAACAGAGCTAGATAACTATCGGCACAGAGGGTTGTTATTTTTCCTTTATAAAACAAAAATTTAGTGGAAGCTTCAATATGTCTTGGACGCGACATAAGAAAAAACACGGAGGTTTCAATCAAAAATTTATATACAACAGCATTTATTTCTATGTCCTAGAGTTTTAAATCATTCTGTAGCATAACGCTATCCAAGACCTAGGCCACATACCCTCAATTCCAATTCCTCCATCGTACGCTGAATAAAAGACGTGAGATACAGAAGAATTTATGCTCAGCTTTCAATGTGAACATTTAAGAAAATTTAGGAAATTGTGTCGTCCCAAACATTTAGCGCAGTCTCCGTAGAGCAACGAAGAAGCTCTAGAGATCTAAGCGAACACATACCACAATAAAAACGACACAAGATCAGAACGCATCCGATGCAGTAGTTACGATACAAATAATGTGGCCAATGTCTTCAAAGTGCATTTATTAACAAAAAGACATGAAGTTCAGACAGAGGGTGGAAGATGTGTAGCTAGGCCATCTGACCATGATAACTTACAACAACAACTACGAACACAGGCTCGAACAATTCAAGACACAATGCACGATCAATCACTAGTCAATCATTGAATGCACTGCCACGGTACTTTGTAGAGCAACATAAATAAAAAAAAAAAACAGGCAAAGCTTACGGACTAACTTGATACAGGAGAGAGGAATCTCTGCACTCCTACTTTCTAAACACTATGCAGTCCACAAGGTATCGGGACAAGAGAGGTATCGAGGCTGAGTGGAACTATACGCTTTAATATTTGAAAACTGATTTAATCACGAGTTAAGTTGCAGATATTTCCTTCAACGAAATAAGGTTGTGCATTTATTACGAAATTATGTCATGCATTATTACTTTTACTTCTATAGACATTGACTTGGTGAAAAATTGTACAGTTACCAATACAAAAATCGTCATCTAACTAAAATAATTTCGAAGCCTCTTCGACGATACAAGCGTGCTTGGCGGATTAAAAAACAATACAATATCTTTTGATCTATTTTACTCATTCCAATGTCTGAAAATATTCTATACTTTTCCAAATTGGATGCATTCGGGTCCTCACAATATATAATATTCTTCTCAATTTTCTCTGAATATTAAAGTCACTGCTTCAACGAACGTCCGTTCCATGAGCAGATGACCATTCTAGCTAATTCGTAGACAAGAGGAACATCGACTAACGAAGCTTTGAACGAAATGCAGCCATAATAAGGAACTAAATATTTCATGTAAGGACGGGCGAACTGGAAAACCGAACAACAAATAATACAAGAATGGCCCAGCGCAACACCGAACTTAACCCCCGATACTTCATCTCTGTTGTGAGGAATCACAGCTTGACAACACTGCATCAGCCGCTGGATGAGCATCAGCAGCAACCAAGCATCAGCAGCAACCAAGCATCAGCAGCAACCAAGCATCAGCAGCTACAAAGCATCAGCAGCTACAAAGCATCAGCAGCAATCAAGCATCAGCAGCTACAAAGCATCAGCAGCAACCAAGCATCAGCAGCAACCTAGCATTAGCAGCAACCAAGCATCAGCAGCAACCAAGCATCAGCAGCAACCAAGCATCAGCAGCAACCTAGCATCAGCACTCAGCAGCAACCGAACATCAGCAGCAACCTAGCAACAGCAGCAACCTAGCATCAGCAGCAACCAAGCATCAGCAGCAACCAAGCATCAGCAGCAACCGAACATCAGCAGCAGCAGCAGCAATCTTGTACAAGAAAACGATTCAGAGTCCAGCTCCATCGTCAGTTCGACGATCTCAGAATGTATGTATAAGTACAATAGAAGCCTCGTATAAATGCAGCGCTCAGTTCTTATCCTCTTTGGATTGTATAGATGGACAGGTAAACGGTGTCTGCATATTTATATAGTTTAGTGTACTTCCATGATTATTTCGTGTCATTTAATTTGCCTGCAAATTCCAGCTCAAAGCTATTCATAAATTTGAAAAAATGTAGAAAATCCCGCACTATTCTGCCCAGCATTTCAAGAAGGCTTCCGTTAAAATTCGTCCAACAAATATTTCTGTTTTGCGCCAAAGTTCATGATATTAAACGACCTCACATGATATTCAAGAGGGCTCATTCTAACTTTTTAAATCACGCATTACATGCGATAAAAAACTCTAAATTACCAAAAAATTAACACTTTATCAACTATAAGTTCGGAAACATGGCACAAAGTAATTCGCAAGCGAATTAATGGCCGCATGTAATATTTGCTGAATTATGAAACAGGAAGCTAATCTAAGAAAACAAAAATGCCAGTGCAAGCTGGAGATAGCAGCCAGACAGCAGATGCTAAATAATATAGCGAATCTTTTTACAATTCTAGGTCGGGTTCATTAATACCATGAACAACCTAATCACTAAACGAAATACAAAGTGAAGCGCCGCAATTAAGGGGACTCCATTTGTTGAGAAAACAGGACGCAAACTATACTTTTTAATCGAAAATTTATTGCATATATATATATATATATATACAAAACAATTAAGATAGGAATAACAACTCTGCACTGCATTGTTTAGATTTAACGAGTCATCTAAATCTAGATAACTAAAAGGCCTTAAGATCTTAAGACTATAGAACAGATTTTAAAAATTAGACGAGAAAACACAAGTAGATAAAAGGTTAGATGGCGCCAAAGCCAGCCATTCAGAATTTTATTTTCTACAAGCGCATGACTGGATATTTATAAATTCGTCACAATTAATGTAGTTGCTAATAAACTATAATTTGCTACAAATAAGCTTAGTTTCTCAATTCTGCAACATAAAATACCAACGACTTAATTGTGATTACAGTTTGGTCAAATGAATTAAACTACACTGGGTTTTTCAGATTTTTAAAGTCAGGTTTTTAAAGCAAACTCATATGGTTTGTAGTCACGTATTTGTCGCAGTTTCGCTGGCAACGTCCATGTGCCATGTATGATCGCGTTCAGCACTCAGTTGGTGGACGATATCGGTAAAAAATAGCCACGTACGAAGTTGGAATAAAATTGACGGCAAAAATTGCGTAACTACGACGCTTCGGAAAAAGTTAGGAATGTCGAATCGCGATAGGTGCTTCCACAGAAAAATAAAATAAAACCCGCTCAGAGGAAAGTCCCCCCAGCGAATCAACTGGCGTCGTCTCTAAAATAAAGTAAAATGAAGCTAAGATAATTCAAGTTAAGCCGGAGAAGCGCCCGAAGAAGTCACTCACCTCAGCCCGCTGTGGGAAGTGACTCAGCAGTGCAGTGCTTAACTTCATAACAACGATTGGCAGTGCAATGATATAGCTAATAATTATAATAGGTAAGCGGTGCAATGTTACAGCTCGTTAAATTTTGCTAGCTAACTAAATTTTGCTGGCAGCTGACTCATAGCACATTCTTGTGTTCCAAGCTTTGTTTCAAAAGTTGTGCGTGAAGTTACTGACCCGACTTCAAACCAGGAAAACTCAACTCTAATTTGTGGTAAGATGATGAATAGTTGAACCGTACGAAGAAGCATAAGTAGTAGTGAGCACGATTTAACTGATATAATTTCAAATTTAACCTAATTTAGTCGTGAATGTGCAAGTTCAGCTACATTTGTCGCGTTAATGAATGAACGAATTCACTGACGGGGAAACTTTTGTCTGAAGACTTGGATCTTTACCGAACCATTGCCTTCAGGTCATTGCATTTGTGGCACAGTTAGGTACTGATTTAGTTGCGAACATGGAATTATAAAAAAATGGTTGGTGTTCGATTTTGCCAAACTTTCAATCAATTAGTTAATTCGGGACACAGAAGAATAAAAGTGTGATAACTATTATCCGGAACCGAATTTGGCATAATAACAATTGCTGAGTCCAATGTGAGCTGCCAGCACAGAAACCATGCATCCAAAGAGGAATGCTACAATGGGAATGCCAAGCTCACATTTCCATTATAGATGCTTTCAACATATGTTTTATAAAACAGGATGTGCACATGCAACATTATTTGATGCTAGAAAAATAAACTAGCATTTAGAAACCTGGAAATTAATGAGCATCGTGACGATACTGTGAAACTGAGGAGGCGATTCATAGAGTAAGCAATATGCGAAGTTATAAATATTGATTTGATATTAATGAAAAGTTTTTATACCAATTAAAAATATGTTAATTGGTAAGTCAAGAGGACAGCAAAATGTTGCAGGAGATGATAAAAATAATTTGCGAAAAACCAACGTTTTTTTTACAATATGTTGTAGTTTTTGAAAGCTAAGTTTCACAACCAACAATTCAAGGATTTCGACACTAGATATTGGAAAATTAAATGCATATCATAACGTTAGAGCAGACGAGCAATTAGAATCAAGCAAAACGAAAAACGAGCAAGCACAACAATGCTTTAAAAATCGGTGTTTTCTTGAAATTAGTTGCTGGAAATTACTCATAAAAGAACCCAAGAACATACTTGAGAGACGTGCATACAGTAATTGGATAACCGATAGAATTTGGATGCTAGATAAGGTTGAAAAATGTTGAATACTCGTTAAAAATATCATCTGATATGAAGTGCAATGGGGCTAAAATCGAAGGAAAGTTCGGTCAACATTAAAGCGAGCTAGAAAAATCTAACTAAGGGCAATTGAATTTGAAAGAAATAAATTTATAAAATTATTGAAATTTTGCTGATTCAAATAAATTATACGATACACGCTGCACATTGAGCCGGTTTTAAATTATAATTATAGCCATTCTTTTTCAATAGTATCTTATGTAACCGAATTTATTAAGTGCCAAAAATGGTTTACATTAATTGGCGATGCCATTAGGGTTCTGCACGAACATAACAGAAAAAAATACGAATTCTAAGGATAGAAATACCAAAAATTGTAAATCGTTATTCCACGAGTTATTTAGACGTATTAACTTTAAAATTATTTAGTACTTTTGTTTTTAGTTCGTACACAAGACCTAGACTCTCAAGTACTCAAATTTTCGTTTTTAAAAACATTTCGGGCAAACTAGCCATGTCATGGTAAGGCACGATACCCAAAGTCTGGCTACGTTAGTGCACACAAAAATTGTCAACACTGCCAGCCATTAATTCAAGACGTGCAGAATATTCGAGTTTGAGACGCAAGTGTGAAGGATGAACGATTGGTGTCAAGCAAACATGGGTGTAAGAAAAAAGCTGCAATGCACTAGAGTTAAAGTAAGTGGAAGATCTATACACCAAACATTAACAAGAAATGAGAGCAAGCGACATTGCAACAACAACAATCAGACGTAACATACATCACGCCGTTAATTAACCACACTAATAGATAATGTATAACACAAATAGCTTAAGATTTTAAGTGCTGGGAAGAAACAATGAAAAAATGAGACAGTAGAATGGAATATTTTAATATGGAAATGTAATAATTTCAACAAAAAGAAAAAGGATGAAAAATGGCAAGACACTGACCTCCTCGACGCCGATCTTCTTGCACGCCTCCAAGAAGCTCTCGACGTTCAGACGACACTTGGCGACAGTCAGCTTTGGCTGCGACATGACATTCAGGTTAGTGTGGGATGCCGAACGAGGTAAATATTCATTTATAATTTAACAGGAACAAAAACAGGAATTAATTCATGAAATGCTGCACATTTATTATAGTTGTTTGTTAATTATCCTAAAGCTTTCTTGTAACCCAGGTCTGCAAAACATTTTAATACTTTTGCGTAGGTACTGCATTTTTTTCAGACATCACCGCTCCTTCAAGCTCACTCGGTGATTCTAGTTTCTTTTCAATTGAACGAATCGTAGAACTTCTTTAAGAAGACTAAACTTCACAATCATTGTAGGTGGGATAATTATAACTATCATAGCATACCCACCGATAAATTAATGCCACGTAACCCCTTAACTCATTATTTTTTAGTAACACAGAATCATAAGTCGAAATTTTCTTTTTCGTTCATCCTCAAACTAATGGGCAACGAAATTCTACACGATAAAGCTTCATGGAATGTTGATGGCAAGACTAACCACGGCAGGAGAAGGCACGTGTATGGCAAGACTAACCACGGCAGGAGAAGGCACTTGTATGGCAAGACTAACCACGGCAGGAGAAGGCACGTGTATGGCAAGACTAGCCACGGCAGGAGAAGGCACGTGTATGGCAAGACTAACCACGGCAGGAGAAGGCACGTGTATGCTGGGCACGGCACGTGGTCGCACGTGGTTCACGAGATGACAAAGCACGACGCCGTCCACGAGAGCAGAACCCATGTTGCTCGGTAGCGTCACCTTCAGGCGGCTCTCGATGATCTGCAGGCAGCAGGTGAGCTTTATTATATCATTAAATTTATACGTTGCATGACATGAAGTGGAATGAAGATTAGTACATGCACTTGGAATGTTCAAAGAGGTCTGAAACTATCTAAGATAAAGACGACTTTGCTATTGAGGAACATGTCGAAACTAACATTTTTATCAACAGCTTACAAAAGCCGCCAGTGTGATGTATCACGACTAAGGTATCTGTTTGATCTTATAAACAGTGGCTGTCTAAGTCGACATTTAGTGAAGTTAATTTCATATTACTATTAGCTACGCTAAGTATTAGCTTAATTTTGAGAGATGCATATAGCGATTTTGATTAAATGATACACTGAGAATTTTTTCTGTATAAATTGTTCACAAGTTGTGAAGAAAAGATAAGGAAATTAAATTATATTTATAACAGCAACACGGATAAACTAAAAGAATGAACGAAATTAATATTTAAAAAGTAATGTGCGACAAGAGTAAATATTTGAGCAACGCAAAAGTTATATGCGACAGCAGTCTAGATAACAACAACAATAAAGTAATAAGAATCGAGAAATAAAATAGAGACATTTCTCAAGTTGTCGAGCAGGAGCTTCTCGTGCTGCTGCTTCTCCATCTCCCGCCTGTACGTGAAGCCGAGCTTGGAGGGCGCCTCGCCGTCCAGACCAGCGTCGCCCCTCACGCCATTCGTGCTGCCAGGGATGCCACTACCAACCAGCCCTGGAATTGTCATGTATAACGTGACCACCTACTTAGTTTCTTAGTATTTGTTTGGGACGTAGCAGTCCCAGGCCACGATGGATCGCCGCCTCTGATTATCGCTCATCCGCCCTCATTTGGGCCGGCTGATGCACGACGCTGATATACCACCTCAACAAAGAACACCTTCCGTTTACCTACACAATAGCAAACTTTTGTCTCTTTATAGTGGTCACTTCGCGTCTCGTCAGGCGCGACTTGGAGCGAATAAAATGTATAAAAAATTTTTTTAAAGACCACGTTTTTCATGTGGACTCAAAAGTAGAAAATAATTTTAAGGCAGCTACTGATCTCTGTTTGCTTTCATTCTCTTGGTCTTTTGTATTTCAGTTAAAATATTTCACATCTAAAACGAAAAACATGGGGCGCATATGTATTTAATTGTTTGGTGATTACTTGATATGATGAATATGATGGTTCATTGAACATTTGATAAGTGTATTGCTGATATAATTAGAAATAGTGGTAGCTAGCTAATGGGAAAGTTGGTGAAATATCGATTGCAAGATTTGATCATCACAGACACGAAAGCGAGCTAAGAAAAACGTGGTAATAATAGCAAATTTATACCACCTTATAAATTAACCTATATATAAAAATATAAATAAATTAACCTAATCCTAAATTAACCAAATTATTGTCACCTTATACCGACAACTTCAAGTTTAAGTGAGAAAGACAACTGAAATGTGTACGTAAACACAAGAAAACTTCTGCGCCCCTTAGAACATTCCCAATAAAATTTACAGACGCGTCAGCTTCTGATTCGGGGCACCAGAAGCTGGGCGACTCTAAATTTTGTTATGGTTGACGTACCGGCACCACTGCCCCGTCGTCGCTGCTGGGCCAACATCGGTGCTTTAGAGACGCCGTTGCCGACGACAGTCTTGCCGGTATTGCTGGCTGCAGGGGTGGCAGCAGCAGGCCGAATACTCCCATTGATTGCTGTTCTGTTGGTGTTACTGTTGCTGCTACCGGTACTACCGTTAGGTATTTTGCCGTTAGCGCTCTTATTAGTCCCGTTAGAGCGAGTGGAAGGATTTCTTGTATTATTTACGGTAGAGGAAACGTTATTAGTCGAGGGAAAGAAGCGTGTATTGATTGCTACAGACTTAGGAATGCTTGGTGATATAGGAGAGGTTGGGGAAGGTGTATTACTAGAACCTTTTAAGGTGGGGATACCACTGGCACCGTTGGACCGATTGCCATTATTATTACCGTTGCTGTTGTTGATTAACCTATTGCTACTCCGGGAGGAGGTGAGAGTAGTGGGGCGACCGCAATTAGATATTGCGTTATTAGGAACTCCAGATGAGTCTATTTTCTGGATTGATTGAGGTGAGTTTACTCCACTTAAATGAGAGGCTTGAATGTATTCTTCGCTGGGGTAGGGCGACCGTGTCGGCCCGTGTGGGGAGTGTAGGTAAGAAGATACGGGAAGCTGATGCCCCAGTCCATTAGACGGAGGAGGTACAGGAGACTCAGGGGCACCAGCTGAGTCAAAACTTGTGTTCGGTGAACCTGGTAACGATTCTTTCGTAGGACTCACGCGAGACTGCAAAAAAATGAACAGGAAATGTTCATTAGAGATAAATCTAGCAAGATCTATTATATGTATAAAAGAAGCAGTTAAATATGACAGAAAAAAAGCACTTTCGTAAGAAACTTGATTTAATTTTGCTGTCGTAACTCATCTCCTATTCTAGTTAATGGTGCCTGGATGCTTCACCTGGATGCGCAAGACATTGGACACGCCCATCATATTCCTGACAAGGACTGTGCCAGAAGTGCCAAACAACCTAAATGACGCTTCATCTGAGAAGATCACTCTACCCCTTGGTCAGCACACCATTCCCTGTACTTCCCGCAAAAAGCAGGCCTGTCATTTGTGTTTCTGTTTGGCACTTCTGGCAAAGTCATTGTCAGGAGGAGGACTGGTGAGCACTTCAAGAAGTAATGTATTGCGCCCACGGTGGACATCCAAGCACTGTCCATGTTTTGGCTGCTTCTTAGTGCAGGGATCAGGAGCACTTCATCTCTTTGCCAAGAGCACGGCCACGAATGCAGTTTGGTACAAAAAAAGTTCTGATCGAAGAGTTACTTCCCTCAATTGAAAAACACTGTCCTAACCAAAATTGCATTTTCCAGCACGATGCAGCTTTTGTCATAGAGTCGGTGCTATCAAAAACTTTCTTGAAGATTTTGGCATTGCAGAATTGACACCATAGCCTGGAAATTCTCCAGATTAGAACCCTATCGAAAATTTATGGGCCATTCTCAAACAGAGGGTAAACACAAGACCACTTTTACAAAGGATATACAGGAATTGATATTGCATGAAGCCATGAATGGAACTTTATTGATATAAACATCATTCAAAATTTGATTCCTGGCATGCCTAAGAGGATAGAAGAGGTTTTTCGTAACAATGGTCAGCACTGCAAATATTGATTGATACCTTGAGGACATTTGCCATATTTCGAATTTTTCGTGTAGAATTTCGTCCTTGTTGATGCTTTCTTTTCTTTTAATTAAAATGATAAATATTTGACGTTTCCCGATGACGATATTTTAGACCTCATAATAATCGTAAAATTATCACTTTGTGGCCACGACTGTACAGAATAGAAGGCACCAGGCAATACAGAGAATTATACCCACCTTAACATAAGACAACACGGCCTCTTTCTGTAAGGTCTTAACGTGAGCGCGATCTGCTTCAGAGGCACTCCAGTTCTGAGAAGGAAAACAGTTTTAGCCTCAAAACGAATTTACCAAGCAGTTTAATAAAAAAAAAGTTTCTTAAGGAAATTCTTCCCACTCATAAGAAATATGAAGCGATATGAGTTTGGAAATCTAGTTTAATGTAGCCCAGCAGTGAGACATATCAAGGAGGCTCCATTAAAGCTATCTAAAAAATGAGAAAGCTAACAAACCGTCAAGGAGTTTACCGAGTTAAGCCATCATATCAACGTCAGAATTATTCATGAAAGAATAGAATCGCATAATTAAAGAATAAGAAAATTTGACGCAATATGATAGATAATATACAGATTGTGCAACATTTCTTATTATAAATGCATAGTAACACCGTACATGTGAAATTACACTAAAGTTTGAGTAAAATGTGTAAAAAGATGTTAGACAGCGAAAATAAACATCAGTAGCTCGGCGCATTGAAGTAGAAACAGAAGGAGTGTGAATATAAGGCATCAGCAATAACGATAGAACTCACCCCATAAATACAATTAATAAAGTAAAAAAACAACGAGGCCAAAACTCACTCCGTTGCTGTAGGAAGAATTAGAGGGATGAGAAGGGAGGGAGTCAGGGCGGGAAGGCACCCCGTCAGCAGCAGCACTCCTGTACACGCGGCCCGCCTCTAGCGCCCGCTGCTGCCGCTTAGCTTCCAGGTAGTCCCTGAGGGAACGGCGTGATCAGTTGCCTCGTCCGCGATTGTTATATTACATACCCCACTACTGCTTGCTTCTTCAATGATTTAAGGGGGGTGTCTGGCGGTTTTTTTTTTATCTCGGCTGTTTACAGACGGATAACTCTGAAACTTGGTACACTTATGTAAAACCGAAAAATAGACAGCTATCATTCTTGTCCATTTTTCGAAAAAAATGAAAGAAAACTTGAAATTCTTAGAAAACGGCTAAAAGAGGGGGTACTGTAGAAATCTATCTCCTCCTAGAGTTTTAAAGTTACGGCGATGAGACATATACCATTCGATTTGCAATCAAAATATCTATCGATTCGTAGTTGCATTCTTCGAATTTCGAATTTTAGTGGATGTGAAGGCATTTTTCCCAAAAATTTCGAAAATTTTTCGCTTTTTTTCAATTCCCCCCCCCCCTTTTCCGAAATATTTTCAAAACTATAACGAAATTCGAAAAACGCCAAGACGAATCGATAGAAATTTTAATTGCGAATCAAATGGTATATGTCTCATGGCTGTAGCTTCAAAACTCTAGGAGATAGGTTTGCGGTGACAATAAGTTAACTTTTTAGGACAGCGCGGCAAAGTCCAGTGCTCATCGGAATAGCCGCTCAATGTAGCAAGGATGCAAGAATAAGCGTTACTGGAGCTTGATTCCAGTCAAAAATGGTGAGAGCGACTGCTAGCACAGTAACCCGTACGACGGCAGTCGGGTTACTGAACTTCGGCTCTAGCAGACACACTATTTATAGTGCGCGGCAGCTAATTTAGTCCTATATTATTTGTTAAAGAACCCTCCCACCCCCCTCCCCTTCGGCATCTGTAGTGAACGCATAAATCAACGTACAGATATGGTTTTGGTACCGTCGAATGCGTCAGAAAAGCAGATTTAAGATGAGTATAAGAACTGGAGAATGTCATAATTGGCCGCTTTACGTCAGACGATTACCCTTTGTGGTGCCCGGCCGGGTAATTTCCGCCTTAACTTTACTGAAGGGGCCCGGACACCTCCCCCCTTACGGGATCTGTAGTGAACGCATAAACCAACGTACAGAGATGGTTTTGGTACCGTTGCATAGCTCATACCGTAGCTGAGACTAAAAACCGGAAAAGCCAATATCAAAAAAGTTTGACCGGACGCTCCCCTTAATGACTGCAGCTTGGTCAGTTGTTGATTTGTGATGCATAAGTTGCTGGTATAGCGCTTCAATTGAGGATTCAACGCCGATTACATTCTTTGCTGTCTCAACTGTTGCCATCACATTTACTGTAAATGTAATGTTTGACTTCATACATCGACGTCAGATAAGACTGCTTGGTAAGTTAGTAGTTTTTTTAACTCATTAGTAAAATTATAAAGCCTCATTGACATTTTTCAAAATACCAATCATATACATGAATCTCCTCGTGATCTTAAAGAATGAATTTCAATAGATATTATCGGCTTACATGTCAGATTATATTTTATGAATATAGCGAATCAATTGGAGTGGAAATAGAAGTCTGAAGTTAAACTCGAAGATAATGTCATCGCAACAAACGTGAAAAAATAACACAATCAAAAATAAAGGCGATGTTTCGTTCTTCGCTTCGTCTTTGATTAAATCGAACGATTTTTTTCGTTGTCACATACTAAAAAGCAAAACAAGCAATCCTCAACACAGGTAATTTAAAAATTTTCACAGATATTTAAAAATTAGATAACAGATTTAGGCTTTGTGGTTAAGAACGAATATGATGCATAAACATCAGAGCAAAGCCTGAAACAGAACGGAACACTAACTAATATAAACTACAACTAGGCAGATGTAAGCTGTCGGGGGAAAGTTCTTAACATGTTGATAATGCGGCGTACAATGAAATAACAGGAGAAAGTGATTAACAATGAACGATAAACGGAGGATACGGTGCACTCTAACTATACAAGTACGATAACGAGAACATTTATGACAACACTAGTGATGAGTGTTGCATTCCGATGATGTGATGATGATAGAACAAAAAAAAAACGTACCAAGAACTTACATGACGAGACGAGCATGTGCAGGGCCTCAGCTACGCTGGCGTAAGAAGCATAGCTTTTGTATGAACTTGTGTCATTTGAATAGCTTAGACTGATTGCAAGTACTATGGGGGCCGTGAAATGTAATTGAACGTCCGTGATTGGGAAAGTGCCCGATGCGCGTAGAGTTGGCAGGCGTTGTGTGTGGTTGTCAGATTTCAAAAAATTCTGGTCAAACTACCTGCCTAGTTGTTGCAGTAGAACTCCTCGTCGCTTAATCACGTTTTCAGGATAAACTTATAAGCACGCCAGTAGCGAAAAAGGTGTGGATGCGCAATTTCATTTGGCAAGGCGACTTGTGGATGTAGGCAATTCTTGCAATCTATAACCGAGATAATATGCCATGGGCCTCAGCCTACCATAAAAAGATAACAGCGAGAGTGAATCTCTTAAATATCGTCGAGTAAACAACTTACACGCGGGATAATAATATCATTTTGTGACAGGTCCATTAGGCTTCAAGGGGATTACACCCGCGATATGGAAGAGTGTGAAGGGGGAAGTTGTGGGTGACTTACTTGTATGTAGGCACGGTGGATGGGGAAGCTGGGGCCGCCGTCGCTGTAAGGTGAGGGAGGATGCTTGGGGAGGCTGGGGAGTATGCAACGCCATCCTCTACATCGCAGCTCCTACCCCTGCTACCGAGCCCAGGGGGAGCGTCAGGGGGACTGTGGCACCACGCAGTGTGGTAGAGCGAGGGGAGTGCCAGAGTGCAGAGGGAGAGTGGAAATGGAGTGGCAGAGTGTAGATGGAGTGCCAGAGTGGAGAGGGAGAGTGGAGAGGGAGAGTGGAAATGGAGTGCCAGTGGAAATGGAGTGACAGAGTGTAGGTGGAGTGGCAGAGTGGACGTGACGGTATGATAGTGAGGCAGGAGTGCCATGGAATAAGAATGAAGGGAAATTGACAGACGGGAGCGCGGCACAGACGTTCCAGAGAGGATTTGATCAGCCAGATTGAAGTGAATTGTGTTTAAAGATGCACGACCAATTCAGTTTGTACGGTATCACCCGAATTTGCGATTCGTTGCAATTGCTTATCGTTTATTGCACAAATCAAAAGATTTGTGGACACAGCCCAGTCCAGGGTAGAATAGAAATTACCGGGGTGGAGAAAAAGTTCCAGAGGTAGACATGCAACGAATGCATGAGCTCGACAAACGCATTTAACGGAGTCGTAGCATGCGAGGATGACGATGAGAATTATGTAGAATAATTAATAATTATGTAGAATTACCACATCAGGTCCAGACAAGAGAAGCAGACACAAGATTGTCGGAGAAACAGTAATAGGAGTCATGAGATGAACGACGCAAGGAGTAGACGATGAGAAGAGAAAATTTAAGAAGAATAATAAGAAGAAGCGGAACGAAGATAAAGCACAACACATGGAGGACACAGATGAGCATAGACAGAAAAAAAATGTATAAGTACGGTAGAAAAATGGAGGCATAGGATGATGAAATAACAACATTGAAAAAATGCCGTCAATGTTATAAGAATTGAGATAGAAAAATTAAATGAAATGAAGAAATGATAAAAGTTCCAGCGTAGGACGGGCAGGGCAGCGTTGACATGCACAGACATGAACACATAAATAAGACAATGCATTGACAGGATATTATTGCGATGTGCGTTGGAGCCCCGCATGACAAGTGAAGCGGACTCGCTAGTGAATCGTAAGAATTCAACTCGTGTCAATAAATCATCGCTACATTTTCGGACAACTTCTTTGATTTTTAAGAGCAGGCATTTCAGAACCGTGGCTCTTAACTTACATATCTTCTTACTAAACATTATAGTTTTGATGAGAATTTAGTTACTGTGCAACAATGGTGCAGTCAATGGTTGTAAATAGAATAACAGAGTCCGCTTCATTCTCACCACGCTTGGGGTAATAAGATGGCAAGAAACAAATGCCGCACTCTAAGCTCTTATTCAAACATTGAAATCAATAAATTAAAAATACCTGGGAAAGTGAACTGTAATTTATGGAGTTATGGACATCGCAAATAAGCATCCATTAAGGGTCTCGCTTAGGTAATATCAATATCAGTCTCAGCTTTCATTTTCACTCTAGGCACTAGCAAGACGCTGACGAATGTATACCGCATTTCATTCTATACCATTCACTCCTCTTCTCATGACTGATAATAAAAAATAAAAATTGAGATCATTTACTTTACACCCTAAGGCGAAATTAAAACTTGATGGAAACCTATACCAGTACTCATTCTTTTCATCGGAACATCGATCATTTTCATAAACTGTACAAAACTCAAGACATCATCAGGAGCGACGTGTGATCAAGTCTACTAGGCATTAATTTTCTTTGTACATAATTACAACTAGAAATCATTAATAAATCCCCGATTTCATTGGAACATCTTCAAAGGGCAGATCGGAACACAGGCGCATATTCAGTTAAGATAAAAAAACAAGTTCTGCCATTTTTGACTATACCAAAAACGCGGTGCCCTGAGGAGCAAGGCTTTTCAAAGGGGGTTTAAATAATAATGATTTAAGTTTAGATGAGTCAGCATTAATTAGGCAGAACAAGCAGACATATTGAGTTGTAATGGCAAAATATTAGTTTGACCACATTTTACTGAGTTCACAATTCACGGATAAGAATATTTTCAGGAATCAGCTCAATCAGAGGAATGTTTAACGGGGGTGCAGAGATGAAAGCGATTATTCTTTATCTTTTTGATGAAATTATCTTGAAAATTCTTGGGGGTTTAGAAAAAGAGACGCAAGATGATGAGAATCAAAGCCAAAAAGACCCAGCTGTAAAGAGAATAAGTAGGTTGCTCAATTTTCAATATACTTTTTTCACGTTTTTGCAAACGGTTTGATTTCATCAAATGGCGACACGAAAATAACAAAAATGCAGGGACGTTTCCCTTGGACTATAAACCCTCCTTCGGTTAAATTTGCTCAATTATTCTTTCAAATTCAAACTCACGCTGATAATAATAATCATAATTTCTCTTCCTTCATTAAAATCGTTAATTTCCACACACAATCAGTTGTGACATTAAATAAATATTTGATATCAAACAGGCATCCCTTGCACCTGCTAAACAGGCTACTCTGAAGATTCAATACCAAGTAACCGTAGAGGATTTAGGATAACAAAACAGGGGCCATACTTTCAAAACTCGCTAAGTGAACGTAAGTACTTACGCTCTATTTTCTTGTCTATGATTAGTGGATTTTGCTTGAAAGGCCGTCAATGATTGGCTGAGGAACTTACGATCTCTTAACTTTTTTGAAAGTATTGGCCCAGCATCCTAACGTATAAACAAGTGAACAAAACAATGGAAAGTGTCAAGGGAGCACCGCACCTGGAGGCTGTGGTGTTATCATGGGGCGGCGGGAGGGGAGCTTCGCCCCCACAGTACAGCAGGTCGAACTCCATGCGCTGCTGCATCGCCTGTGTCAGGAATGAGCATTAAGCGACAAACATAAGATATAATTAGTTGCATCCTTAGTATTTTGTTTCGGACGTAGCAGTCCCAGGCCACGATGGATCGCGCCCTCTGAACATACGAACCAAATATTTTACTGAATCATCTGCAACACGGCAACCGCAATTATTGATAACAAGTATTAATTACAATTTTGAGTTGTTGAGATATCCGTACTTAAAATTTGCCCCAAGTAATGACATGATGACGGACAAGTCTTGCCATCAGAACAGGGTTCAATAAGCAATCAGATTCCAAATGACTGGTATCAGAGTAAATGACAAGAGAAAATAATACGTAACAGAATAATAATGCCAACACGTAAGATGATCTCATTAAATAGCATGAAAAATATACCACTTTTTGGAAGCAAAATCAAGATTCAAAAAGAGAATTGCAAGTAAATAAGCAAATTTTCACAGGAAACATTCGAAATGTTTAACAAGTTATAGAAATAATAATCTTCTTGCTAAGAGAAGAGGCCGGCATCAGTGAGGCTGACCTTATGGACCTCATCCTCGAGGCTGAGGCCGGCATCAGTGGGGCTGAGGGTGCTGGGCGTAGAGCTGCCGGAGAGGCTGAGGCGACCGAGGCGGTCGTGCAGTCCAGCCTCATCGTCCACCTGAACATAGTGCAAACCATCCAGTTAACTATGCCATGAACTAGTAGGGTATCTTCTTCCTTGATTATATATTATATACATAGTAACTTTTTCCTCAATTATATATCATATATAGTAATTTCTCCCTTCATATATATAGTAACTTCTTTCTTAATTATATATCATATACATATATAGTAACTTCATCCTCAATTATGTATCATAGACGACAGTTTAAGTTTATTTATAAAAATTAGTGGATTAAAGTGCTATCATGGCAATAAGGCCTTTAATTATCGTAACAATTATTGTGACAACAACAATTGGACATACCTCGTGCGAGTTGCAGGGCCACCTGTTGAAGTCGCAGGTGTCGCTGTAGCCGCTGTCAACGGTGGTGCGCTGTCCTGCACTCGCTTCACTCAGCACTCGGCTGCCAAGCATACACGATTATATTCATATTAAAATCACTTGTTTGCTTAAATCGCAAGTTAACCAGGAATTTAAAAGCAAAAACAATACCACAAAAATTCACCATATCTTTATAAGAGGAAACGTTTCGGAGTCCAGCTCCATCGTCAGTTCACAAAATTCAGTTCTAGAAACACAAATACAATCAATTAGTAGAGTAAAAGGCACTGTTAGGTCTTAAAACGGAGAATAAATAAATAAGACATGAAATTAAAGCTAGTAAACGGCCTATCTATTTACTATTTCAAGAGGAACGGAGCTAAAAGCGGCATTTAGACCAGCCTTCTGCTTGAAGATATATAGAGATTCTAAAATGCGTAGATCAGTAATACCGGATGCGGAAGCTAGAATTTTAAAATCATTATCGGATACGGAGGTGTTGCACTGCTCAGCATGAACACCTACAGCAGAATGAGGTGGATGTGCAAGTAGGTTCCCCGTCCTATAATATAGGACGGGGAACCTACTTGCACATTACAATGCTTTTTTACATTACAATGCCTCCTGCTCTTAGCTCCGTTCCTCTTGAAATAGTAAAAAGATAGGCCGTTTACTAGCGTTAATTTCCTGTCTTATTTATTTATTCTCCGTTTTAAAAACCTAACAGTGCCTTTTACTCTACTAATTGATTGTATTTGTGTTTCTAGATCTGAATTTTGTGAACTGACGATGGAGCTTGACTCCGAAACGTTTTCTCTTATAAAGATATGGTGAATTTTTGTGGTATTGTTTTTGCTTTTAAATTCCCGATTATATTCAATCATATATATTATATTATATTTGATTATACTAAGCAGACACACAATTGTAACGAGTTCAACAGCCATGCATAAATACACAAAAATATCTAATTATATAAATTAAATTTTTTTATATTTAATTACATTAAGCAGACACACAATTATAACGAGTTCAACAACCCTGCTGCTGAAGCCTTTTACCCTACTTAATTGCTCTTTATAAGACTATTCAGCTCTTCAACCAGACACATAACTCATTGTTAGTGATGCAATCTACTCAGCAGTCAAGCATAGAACAAATTGCATCCCTCACAGAAGACTTTAAAAAATTTAAAATGCAGGGAAATTCAACAGTGAAACCTTATAAATTTTATAGCGGCATGTTTTATCAATGCTTGAGATCCAGCACTCTTTTAGGAAATTTCATAATGCAAAATTACAAATTTAACGTTTTGGAAAGAGATAACGCCTTGTCAAAAATAAAAAGATTCGAATTTAGGCACTATTTTAGATAAAATTGTTTTATGTCAATATGTAGTCATGGATTGATATTATTCAAAATCATTATTATTCAATTCCACACTATTCCATGTTTTAGTATTCTAATTTTTAAGAGAATGTAGGACATGAAAATAAGCACAAACGTTGTAATGAAGAACAGCTGAAAGTAACATTATATATCATGAAGACAACTGTTTAGACGAGAAGAATATAAACCTGATGTCAGGATGCTGAAGTTGCTGGAGATGTTGCTGCTGTAGCTGCAGTTGTTGCTGCTGTACAAGCTGTTGCTGTTGCAGTGCAAGTTGCTGCTGTTGCTGCAGATGTTTCCTGTTCCTACGCTGCTCCAACTCCTGCACACCTGTCCTCCTGCCCTCCTTGCCTGCCGACAACTCCAGCCACTTGAACACGTGCACGCGACCACGTGCGCATACCTGTGTACAGATCCATTATTATCAGTCTATTATTTTTCAATTCAATAATTGTATTGTCAGTATTATCAGTCAATTATTATTCAATTCAATAATATGTGAAGTAACATTGGCTTTCCCTACATCATCGTCACTCCTACTCATTACCGTCTTAGCAGACAATAGCATATCATACACAGCGGTCTTCAGCTCTTGCTTGTGCACAGATCGATTACTACTTACTATAGCAACGATTTCTATTTACTTGAGGAATGATTCCTACATGTGTAAAAATTCCTACACGAGGAACCCCAATTGCACAACGGCATCACAACTGCGGCTCAGTGCACAGATTCCTACTTACTGTAGCAACAAAGATTTCTAACTTGAGGAATGATTCCAATATGCGGAAAAATCCCTACACGAGGAACCTTACTTGCACAACGGCATCACAACTGCGATGCAGTGCACAGATTCCTTCTTAATATAGCAAAGAAAGATTTCTATTTACTTGAGGAACGATTCCTATATGTGAAAAAATTCCTACTTGATGAACCGTACTTGATTAACGTGACTGTTTTAGAAACTGTGGTTGTGCTTTCCAGACTATAGATTCTGATCAACTGGAACACATCGGGATACGATTATTTCAGCCATAATATCCGGCTACCTTTATGACACCGACATGCTTTATTGACCAAGACAGGTCTGGAAAACTTTTAGTTATTTTAAATTTAGTGCACATCAGCGGCAGGACCGACTAACCAGAATTGACTGTACCGGAATTGCAACAATTCTCATTACAATCCAACCTAAGAGATAAATATTTAGAGTGGTAGGAGTTACGCAGCTGAGCGGGAAAGCAATGAGTGGGTACGCACCTGATGAGTTCCCACGCAACGGAGTGGGAAAGTACATGAGTGGGTAGTGGGTAAGTCACTGACCTGAGTGGGTGGGCAGAGTAGTGGGTTGTCGGACAAGAGGAGGGTTGTAAGGGATAACATAAAACGGAGGTCGCTGGGCAGTGCCGTGATGTTGTTGCTGCTCAGGTCCAGCACTGACAGCCGCAGGTAACACACTTCTGCAAGCCGGGAAATTTCATCTTATGAGGCACCGTATGCAGCTACTTCACGTTAACCCTCTACCAAGTGACATGAATAACGGGAGCAATATTGTCACGCGCCTACTTCCCAAAAAGGATACGTTCTAGTGAGTGCAAAATGACTTGCACTGATGGTTGCCGCCATGTACGACAACTTTAAAATGTTCTCTGTTGCTTACAAACGTCCTCAGGTTGCTACACTCAATAGTTTACGTATAATTTAAGTTGAAAGTTATGTTCCCGGAGAGTGACATACGGCGGTAGAGGGCTAACAACTATCACGGGGTATGTGAAGACAGTGGATCAGATATAACAGAGGATAACCTCTATAATAAGGCCCGGTTATCGCAGCAAAATTTCATACAGACAAATCAGACTTATGTTGCGACCGTGAATTTGCTTTATTTATTGTTTGTTATTCGTTGAAAGCTATGATTTGATAGGTACTTAATAATTATCTAAATAGGTTATAATAAAAAACGAAAGATTACGTTTGATTACGCAGGTTAATTACGGTTAATTTGATTACGCAGGTTAAGATTACGTTTTACGCAGGTTAATTCAATCATATTTGTGTGGGTAAAATGTATTCTGCTATACAAATGAACATAGAATTAAAGCCCTTTCAAACTGAGAACCATTATAAATGTTACACGAGAAGTTCCAGAACTGACCTGGAGGTAAAGTCTGAAGTTTATTGCGTCTGAGCAGCAGACTGCGCAGGTGGTGTAAATGACCCAGTGACGCTGGTAGGCCGGTTAGCTGGTTATGCGAGACATCCAGCTGAGTGAGATGTGGTAGTCCACAACCAAGGTTAGATGGCAGGTTCGTCAAACGGTTGTCAGATAAGTTCAGGATGCGTAAATTGCTCAGTTGGTTGATGCAGCTCGGGATATCGGAAAGCTGGTTGCGGCTGCAAACAAGAATTTCTTTTCAAATACTAGTTATTAGTGAAAAAACATGCACTAAAAATAATTTTGAGATCTGCATTCATTAGATTCAAAATGAAAATTTGCTACCAGAGTAAAAAGAATGCCTGTTTAATTTACTCAGGAATTTACGTGTATCATATGATTCATCTAGTCATGAATTGTCCGCGAATGCAGCTCGTATTTCGATATCACAATGATCCATAACATTTAAAAATTAGCTAGACAATGGTTTTGCGTTCGTGCTGAAATTAAAATTTCTAAAAATTAACAGAAAGAAACTTTTTTTGAAGACGGATGAGCAATATTCATTTTTTCTGATAACATATAGGAGAATGAGGAAGACAGGCCGCTAAATGTACGTGGAGCAAACACAGAAAAAAATTATAAGCTTTTTAAAATAAAACATAAATTTAGCGAATTGCCAACTAAAAAATTAGCTTTACATTCGCACATTGGGATAGGTACGTACTCGTCAATCAAAGGCTTCGTTTAATAATTATCAACTGATTGAAGAAAACAAAAACGAGATATTTATCTTCTCAAAAGTAAAAAAGCCCCAAATGCTACTTTGTAGGAATCCTTTAAAACCAGCCGCTGATGGGTGTTCGTTCACAATAAACTAACCGCTAATCTGTTCGTTCACAATAAATGCACTATGAAGGATTTACACAAAAGTTATATGCCAATAAACAAGACTTTTGTCTTCCTAAAGTAAAAAAAGCCCCAAATGATACTTTGTAGGATTATTTCAATCCGCCGCCATTGGGCCGCTCTTCGTTCACAATAAATGTACTATGAAGGATTTTACACAAAAGTTATAATATGTCAAGTACCTGACGTCGAGTAGAGTAAGCTGGGAGAGGGAGGCTAGTGCGGCCGGCAGCTGCTTGATGGCGTTGTGGTGGATGAGAAGCTTCTCCAGCCAGTGGTAGGAACACACCTCGCACGGTACCTCGCACAGCCGGTTGTGGGAAAAGTCTGATACAAAATACCACTGGTTAATATTTGAAGAGAAATCATTCTCGAATAAAATCACCTAGCACAGTCGGTTGTGGGAAAAGTCTGATACAAAATATCATTTGTTAATATTAGAACTGAAATCATTCTCGAATAAAATCACCTTGCACAGTCGGTTGTGTGAAAACTGATACAAAATACCACTTGTTAAAATCGCAACTGAAATCAATCACGAACAAAATCACCTCGCACAGCCGGTTGTGTGAAAAGTCTGATACAAAATATCATTCGTTAATATTAGAACTGAAATCAATCACGAACAAAATCACCTCGCACAGCCGGTTGTGGGAAAAATCTGATACAAAATACCACTGGTTAATATCAGAAGTGAAATCATGCTCGAATAAAATCACCTCGCACAGTCGGTTGTGGGAAAAGTCTGATACAAAATACCATTCGTTAATATTAAAACTGAAATCAATCACGAACAAAATCACCTCGCACAGTCGGTTGTGGGAAAAATCTAATATAAAATACCACTTGTTAATATCAAAAGTGAAATCAATCTCGAACAAAATCACCTCGCACAGCCGGTTGTGTTCAAAGTTTGATACAAAATACCACTGGTTAATATTACAAGTGAAATCAATCTCGAATAAAATCAATCTTAAATGATGGTTTTACCAAAATGATCCGAGATAAATCGTACAGAAGATTAAATCTCAATGAGAAGCGTCAATTTTTACAGACGAAATAAATCATTTATATTACGCATTAAACCATGCATACAAAATCCTGCTCAAATGAGCACGATAAATCGTTAGTGAAGTGTCTATTGCGTTCATGATTGATTGCATTTAATAGAATAGGGCCATAAATGAAGTGCAGTAGGCTGGGTCGCGGCATAAGCAGCGTGCGTCAGGCCGGAAATGCCGTCCGCTGCTCGGAGTGCAAGCATAGCAAGCGGTAGCCTATACTAGGCGGTTGCGACCAAAAATGAACGCTATTTTAAGGAGCGGTGCCTTGTGGAAGTTACATTCTTCCTAATGAAATGAAATTTATTCATTTAATTAAAAAAATAGAATTTGAATAAGTCAGAACTGGAACAGCAATCGTTGAGTTGTCTCTCCTGACTAGTGTTTCTCTGCAATCAATTAGAACGTAAAGAGCCAAAAACAGAAATTTATCATATATCAAACAGGCGGCATAATCTTTGGATCACACCATGCAAGTTTTTAATAACGAATTAATAATTGGTGGAAAATAATTCTAGTAACTTATTTATAATGGAGGAATTCTATTACAACCTATTATAATGCTGCATCAATTTTGATCAAGTGCCCTCACTCATAAATATTTTTATTCTTCATATTTCTGAGCTATTAACACAAGGTTTCTGAAGAAAGGATGAAAAATCAATAAAATGCTTCATATTATTATCATTAATTGATATTTCATTAATAACACACACTGCCACGACTCTGAAATTTACTATCTATGCATCGAGACAGCAAACTTCCGGTGATTGCTATAAGTTACGACAAGCAACGAAAATTTGCGTTGATTTCCACGAAAGACAAGAATTGGAGTTCCAATTCACATTAGGCTCGTTACGTTCACAACTTTGTAAACCAAGTTGATACTGACAACTAAGTGTGTTAGAAGCTATCTGGAATGGTGCTCTTCATATGGCTGGAAATTCACACCCTTCACTGGTTTCATTTTGCAAAAAACGTAAAGGAGATTAACTGGCGTGGAAGGAAAAATGTCGCTATGCCTCGACTAACATACGTTCCAAGGTTAAGCAGTGAACATGTATACAACAGCTCGAAGTTATACTTTCAATGGTAACAAACGCGACAATTTTTAAATTTTGTAGATAGGGTCGACTGCGCTTGACGTGTTATACGATTACGAAGACACTTTTCTCTGAAAATAAATTGTGGGAATCGTTCCCAAATTGTTAAATCCGTAAACCAGAATGAGTACTGTACTTTGATTTTAGCCAACGAAGCTTAATATAAGATTTTGTTAAAAAATATAACTCGGTACTCACTGCAGTGAGTGACAGAGAGCGCATTTTCTCGTCGACAAAAACGAAGTCACGGACAGACAGACGGACATGACGAGCGCAATAGCGCCTTTCTCATTTATGGAAAAAATGCACTATTGTGCTCGCCAATCGCCATGTCCATCTGTCTGCCTGTCCGTCCGTCCGTGACCTCAAGTTTTCTTCGACGAGAAAATGCGCTCTCTGTCACTCACTGCAGTGAGTACGGAGTTATATTTTTTCATAAATAAGAGATTGCGCTAAAAAGGATCCGGTATAGTCAGGTTACTGCGTACCGGTATAGCTGTAGTTAGGTTACAGCTAGTTACTAGTAGGGAAGAGTCAGCAGCCAGTAATACGCATGAATGTCTACACAGCAAATAAAAAAATTGTTCGTTAGGCCAAGGAAAGTGTAGGAAGAAGTCATGCCGCGGAATAGTACCAATATCTCCATGGGCAAAAAGTGACAGCTTTTAAGGAGCCCCTAAGGCCTAAACGATCAAGAAGTTTGAGTCAACCGATTGACGCACGCTTCAATCAACCTCATTCAGACTCTCAATCTTTTTATCAAAACCTCTCTCGTCAGAAATGGGATCAGTTCCCACTTTTTTGTTAGTTCGCCTAAGGTCGTTTTTTTCGAGCTGATGTGTCGATTTTGGTGACAAGCAATGGCTTCAAATATTGATTTGGCCTTCTTCTTAAAAATATGGGCATCTTTCAGCTAATCAATTTCATCTATCAAATTTTTCATCAATCACCGTTAAGCCTAGCTTCAGGCGTCCGTCAAACGGGTTTCTACACGATCCAATCATACTTGATCAAGCTGTTTGATTGTTTAGGGCATTTCTTTGGGCTTTTCAATTTTTTCTTCAGTTGAAAAAATGTAGGGAGCGGCACTGAATAGGTCTAAAATAACGAGTGTCCAGTGTAATTATCATATATACGGTACCACAAAAAGGATCTGCAGCCTAAGCTAAAAGCTAAACCTGTTACTGCCTGACCCACTCTCCCTGAGAGGTCCGTCAAGCCAACCACGGCCGGCACAACTTCATGCACTATACCGCCGCTTTCTCCCCCTAAGAATAACCCGTACCGACGTAGTGACTACATTTGAAACAAGCATTATAGCAGTTTTGAATAGGTAATCCGATATATTACAACTCAAGATAAGTGCTTTCAGAGGCTAAACCTATTCACGGTAGCAGACGGTACTCGGCAACTACTCAGAGTCAAGTGTTTTTTGATGTATCATGGTTTCAAGCGTACATAGAAACATCAGAAGCCTTCAGACACATAAACGCATTTATTAAAAATTCGTAGTGTAAAATTCGCGAAAATTCTGTAATACTCTAAGCTTCAACATTCATGAAATATTTTACAACGTCATGAATATATCAAATAAGGCAAATAAACTCAAATATCAAAACTGCAATACGACCGAAAAATAACTATAATGAATTTAAACAAGAATTCGGCTGATCAGATAATCCACAAAAACTGTTCAAGTGAATGAATCCGGAAATACAAAAAACAACAATTAAGTGATTTAACTGCTGCCACCTATCACACATTGTTCTTTAACGTGGAACTTTTCCCTTCATATTACTGTGGCATTAATTTAACAATGGCATAGCCGTCGAACGCTCCTATAGCTCGATTCAACGCCGGCATGGCGCGTGTCGGACCAACCGCGAACAGCAACAAAAGACATCGGAACGAAGAAACAAACGAAATTCAAAAGTTATTCATGTAGGACGATACGCAGAGATTCATTACCATCATAATTCATAAAATGATTTCTCTATTTCAGTTCGGTATGCATTTTTTGAAATCACGTATTTCAAACAGAAAAAGATTTCGAAGGAGCGTCTACGAAATGTATTCAACTAAATGCCACGTCCTGATATCTTGAAGAGTGGCAAGAAATCTTCGGCGCGCTACAATTCAATTGTAGCCAGCTAGTCCCATGTATGCTCGTCGTAAGAAATATTATGAATAATTTTTTCTTTTAACGTTGGAATCGATGATCTAAAGGGTGGGTCGCTTGTGTGGTTTTATGCAAGATATACACCATTACACATTGGCAAAAAACCTTTCTAAATGCAGTAGGAAAAAAGCATGACTAAATGTTACCTATAAAGCTGAGCGCGATGTCTCATACAATGTGCACATAACAAACGAAGAAGAAAGTGCCGGCATTAAGAAAGGCTCGCAGGATCCCGCGCATCCTCGTGCGTCTGACCTCTGGCATTAAAAGAAAAGAGGAAAGGCAGGGTCGGTGAGGCGGCAATTTAGGCAGCAGCATTGCCTGCTGCAGGCGGCAGTTTAGGCAGCAGCATTGCCTGCTGCAGGCGGCAGTTTAGGCAGCAGCATTGCCTGCTGCAGGCGGCAGTTTAGGCAGCAGCATTGCCTGCCTGCGCCTGCTGCAGGCGGCAGTTTAGGCAGCAGCATTGCCTGCGCCAGATGGGCAGGCGACAGTGTCTCGTCCATTCGCTACACGTATTACAGTGAGACAATTATTGGTGCCATTGCTACTTAAACGTATTCATATCATGAACTGCATTTACTAGCACTCTTTTCACCATACTAGATTATCTGCGGTTACTCAGGTTTCATTTTGAGTAACACAAAATAGTTTCACAAAATATTCAAAATTAAACCGAAATTGACGACCTTCACAATTACCCCCACACCCTAGCTTTATTGATTCCTTAAAATAATTTCAACACAGATGACAGCAGCTGGTTAAAATTATAACATTTATATAACCAGATTAACTTAAGCAAATAGTATGGACGAAAAAAAGTTATTGAAAAACGATTTTTAGACGGAGGAGCATAAAAGTTTAAAGGTATGAAGCCATGCACCGAATATAGGACGATAGCGTGGTAGTTAGGACACCCGTCCTCGCACTCAGGGCGAGTGAGTGGACACCGACGTACGACTCGAGCGCTTATACATACTCTCGTAT